TTTCAAAACCCTACATTTTGGACTACATGGACGACTCTCTACTCCCAGTAGAAGCGGAGATATCGACGGAGGAATGTTGGAAAACTTTAACCTTCGATATCTCCTAAACGGTTAGAGATACAGGCTTCGGACAGGTACCAAATTAAAGCCCTTTCAAAACCCTACATTTTTGACTACATGGACGACCCTCTACTCCCAATAGAAGCGGAGATATCGACGGAGAAAGGTTGGAAAACTTTAACCTTCGATATCTCCTAAACGGTTAGAGATACAGGCTTCGGACAGGTACCAAATTAAAGCCCTTTCAAAACCCTACATTTTGGACTACAATGACGACCCTCTACTCCCAATAGAAGCGGAGATATCGAAGGAGAAAGGTTGGAAAACTTTAACCTTCGATATCTCCTAAACGGTTAGAGATACAGGCTTCGGACAGGTACCAAATTAAAGCCCTTTCAAAACCCTACATTTTGGACTACAATGACGACCCTCTACTCCCAATAGAAGCGGAGATATCGACGGATGAAGCTGGATATCGACGGAGAAAGGTTAGAAAACTTTAACCTTCGATATCTCCTAAACGGTTAGAGATACAGGCTTCGGACAGGTACCAAATTAAAGCCCTTTCAAAACCCTACATTTTGGACTACATGGACGACTCTCTACTGCCAGTAGAAGCGGAGATATCGACGGAGAAAGGTTGGAAAACTTTAACCTTCGATATCTCCTAAACGGTTAAAGATACAGGCTTCGGACAGGTACCAAATTAAAGCCCTTTCAAAACCCTACATTTTGGACTACATGGACGACTCTCTACTCCCAGTAGAAGCGGAGATATCGACGGAGAAAGGTTGGAAAACTTTAACCTTCGATATCTCCTAAACGGTTAGAGATACAGGCTTCGGACAGGTACCAAATTAAAGCCCTTTCAAAACCCTACATTTTGGACTACAATGACGACTCTCTACTCCAGTAGAAGCGGAGATATCGACGGATGAAGACTGGATATCGACGGAGAAAGGTTGGAAAACTTTAACCTTCGATATCTCCTAAACGGTTAGAGATACAGGCTTCGGACAGGTACCAAATTAAAGCCCTTTCAAAACCCTACATTTTGCACTACATGGACGACTCTCTACTCCCAGTAGAAGCGGAGATATCGACGGAGAAAGGTTGGAAAACTTTAACCTTCGATATCTCCTAAACGGTTAGAGATACAGGCTTCGGACAGGTACCAAATTAAAGCCCTTTCAAAACCCTACATTTTGGACTACATGGACGACCCTCTACTTCCAGTAGAAGCGGAGATATCGACGGATGAAGGATGGATATCGACGGAGAAAGGTTGGAAAACTTTAACCTTCGATATCTCCTAAACGGTTAGAGATACAGGCTTCGGACAGGTACCAAATTAAAGCCCTTTCAAAACCCTACATTTTGCACTACATGGACGACTCTCTACTCCCAGTAGAAGCGGAGATATCGACGGAGAAAGGTTGGAAAACTTTAACCTTCGATATCTCCTAAACGGTTAGAGATACAGGCTTCGGACAGGTACCAAATTAAAGCCCTTTCAAAACCCTACGTTTTGGACTACATGGACGACCCTCTACTCCCAGTAGAAGCGGAGATTTCGACGGATGAAGGATGGATATCGACGGAGAAATGTTGGAAAACTTTAACCTTCGATATCTCCTAAACGGTTAGAGATACAGGCTTCGGACAGGTACCAAATTAAAGCCCTTTCAAAACCCTACATTTTGGACTACATGGACGACTCTCTATTCCCAGTAGAAGCGGAGATATCGACGGATGAAGACTGGATATCGACGGAGAAAGGTTGGAAAACTTTAACCTTCGATATCTCCTAAACGGTTAGAGATACAGGCTTCGGACAGGTACCAAATTAAAGCCCTTTCAAAACCCTACATTTTGCACTACATGGACGACTCTCTACTCCCAGTAGAAGCGGAGATATCGACGGAGAAAGGTTGGAAAACTTTAACCTTCGATATCTCCTAAACGGTTAGAGATACAGGTTTCGGACAGGTACCAAATTAAAGCCCTTTCAAAACCCTACATTTTGGACTACATGGACGACCCTCTACTCCCAGTAGAAGCGGAGATATCGACGGATGAAGACTGGATATCGACGGAGAGAGGTTGGAAAACTTTAACCTTCGATATCTCCTAAACGGTTAGAGATACAGGCTTCGGACAGGTACCAAATTAAAGCCCTTTCAAAACCCTACATTTTGCACTACATGGACGACTCTCTACTCCCAGTAGAAGCGGAGATATCGACGGAGAAAGGTTGGAAAACTTTAACCTTCGATATCTCCTAAACGGTTAGAGATACAGGCTTCGGACAGGTACCAAATTAAAGCCCTTTCAAAACCCTACATTTTGCACTACATGGACGACTCTCTACTCCCAGTAGAAGCGGAGATATCGACGGAGAAAGGTTGGAAAACTTTAACCTTCGATATCTCCAAAACGGTTAGAGATACAGGCTTCGGACAGGTACCAAATTAAAGCCCTTTCAAAACCCTACATTTTGGACTACATGGACGACCCTCTACTCCCAGTAGAAGCGGAGATATCGACGGATGAAGGATGGATATCGACGGAGAAAGGTTGGAAAACTTTAACCTTCGATATCTCCTAAACGGTTAGAGATACAGGCTTCGGACAGGTACCAAATTAAAGCCCTTTCAAAACCCTACATTTTGCCGTAAATGACGACTCTCTGCTCCCAGTAGAAGCGGAGCTATCAACGGAGAAAGGTTGGATATCGACATCGAAAGTCACACGGACACAACTGCGCTAAAAAACGCCTGCCGGAGTATAAGTAAGTACTAACGTAACGCTAAAATATTTTGGAAAAATAATTTTGGGTACACACAAAATATTATCTTATTGTCATATATTTATATATCGTTATAAATCGTATATAATCTTCATGATATTAATCATATACAATCTCAATTCTTATTTTTTTTGTGCATGTTAACATGTTAATTCATGTTACAAATGCATAACAATGCGCGAGACCGTGCTTGTCAAGTACGCTATTATGGTTGTAGCACGGACATAAACCTCCTGAAAGTGGATGTAGCACGGACAGCCACTAGATGCAGGTTTTACCGTCGAGACCTAAAAGTGGATGTAGCATCGTAGTTCCCAAAGTGAACGCAGATAGCGCCCATTCCCAGTGCGAAAAATCGGTGTCGCCGAAAACGCCGTGTTGGCCGCTCTCAGCTTCCTCTCTGGTTACACTTTGTACGGTATTCACAATTTGTCTTATTTTCCTTGCAAACATTATGTTCCTCCGACAAAATTTTTCGGAACCTTCCTTACGTAATTTCTAAAAAAGATGCAGAGTCGAATTTTACAATTCTTCAAAATTATAATAAATAATAATATGGTGTTGTGCTACACTCCATGTGCACTCTAGTAAATCAAGCAATTTTTATCTCTGATTTTAAGAAAGACGCTCTGTACGTTTCTGTAGACAATTTTTCTAATTACAATGTTATTATGATAAGTACAAGGTGATTTTCTCTATATTATGATCATAAAATACGAAATGTCTCTGCTTATTTCGCAGGTCTCTACAAGAGGTCTCTGTGTTCCTCCTGTAGGCCCTTCAACTGTCAACTATATTGACCATCAAACCATGTTTCAATACATTCGCAACGGTAAGTCAGGTATGTGTTGAAATATCGACAGGAACTACTTGAGCTTAGCATGGTTGCGACACCTAGAATAAAATATGACAGTTTTTAGCAACGATACAAATTCAAGGAAATAAATTATCAGGTAATATTTCAATTTTAAATGTAAGCATTTAAATTTTAAATGTAAAAGCATTTAAATGTAAAAATCTAATACGAGATAGCGAATGTTTTGTCAAATATGTTAATACCGTTTATCACACGTTGAATGTGTAAAGCGCGTGCGCGCATAACGCCACACACACATTTTTGTTCATTTTTATATAACATTATATAATAAAAATTATCTAGTATATTCTCTCTTTCAATATCACGGTATGATTTGCACGACTCGCTTAGCTCATTTTATATCACATCGACGAACTTAGCTAATATCTTATCGCACGAATAGTATCACATTTTATCGCAATGCTTTTACACGATTTCGCGCTATTAGCCGGTAGCAATTGCACGTTCCGCGGTTATTTGAGAACGCAATCACACGGCCCTTCTTCATTATTTTGATAGCGCCGTCATCGTTTGCATCTGCGTCCATCATTCGCTATTTTATCGCGAACTCTTTCAGGAAACCGTGACTTCTGCTCTTGTTTTTTTTCGCGCGTAATGATCACGCTACATCGCCCCGCGCCCATTTCCAGGATCGTTATCTAGGTAAGTTATTTAGTAAAAGCATGTTTCGTGAATTCGGTTGTGAACTCTGTGCCGTGAATCGTATTAAAGAAAAAGAAGAAAGAAACAAAAATTCCATGCATGGGCAATCTATGTCGGACTAAAGCTGATTAACGATGTGGAAAGCGCAATCGTTAAATCTTTTGGCTAAAATGATTCGCCGTGCGCACCGTGGCATTAAATAACAAATGGCCGCAGGAAGCAATTAGTCGACGGCTGTCAACAACCAGACAAAAATGTCCGGTGTCTTTCATAAATAAGGAAGGCGCTATCACGAAATCACCGGCGAACGAACGATATTCGAGCGCTCATTATGTTGACGTTTATTATTATTCCACTTGACAAATTCGCACGTCATGGCAAAACGAATAATGCATAATTTGCTTGCCGTAATTGTCGGAGAACAAGCCGCCATACTGGGTTGAAATAACATCGCAAACCACTTGAGGACTTGCTTTTCAACGATGATTTCACCTCTCCATCATTAGTCTTTCTGAGTAATATTACGTGGGTTTTTGCAAAATATAATTTCTAGGATAATAATTAATCAAATGGGAATGTAAATAAAAATTGCCCGGAAATAACTTTCGCGACAAGCTGCTTGAGCTGTAAAACGTAAAGGTGACTGAAATTTCGAAAATAATGTTGACGACACATCTTCCCAGAATTAACCGAGATGATCTCGAGACACGGATAAGAGAACAAACATATTATTCGCGAGAGATACTCCAGATATCAGCTATCGTGATCAGCTGTGATCTATCGCGCATCTCATCGCGCTGTTCCATCTTTTATCGTGCCCTTATTCCGTGTCTCGCAGAATGAAGAAACGACGAGTAAGCAGGAATTTACATGTTTCGGGCAACAACGTACGAGGAGTCGCTGCTCCTCTCCTCGTCACCGTCGTTATCGCCGCCGTTGTCGCCGTCGTTGTGAATCGTCGCTGAAACGCTTAGAAGAGGGGAGGACAGGGTTAAGGGACCGAACGGGTTGTTCCAACGCCGCGACTTCCACGAGGGACTTCCCGGCCGCATTTAGTTTTTCGTTTAAAAGCGGACGCGGTACCACGATACCTATTCAGTTTCACATTTGACACGCGCTGTGTGTAACAGTGTCAATCACCATGAGGTCGTTCTCTTACCTCATCGTGCCTGCATCGCGCATCCTGATGCTCCTCCTCGGCGTCCTCCTCGGGCACACGGTCCTCGCCTCGCCCGTTAAACGCGTAAATTTCGCCAATGCCACCGGTAAGCCACTCTACGATTTCGCTACGAGAACGAAGAAACGAAATTCTTGAAATTAACCGGCTCGAAGCCGGAAAAGACTTCACTTTACGGCTTAATGGCACTTACAAAGGAGAGACGCAATCTGACAGTTACAAGAAAACTCTCTCGAAGTGCACAGAGCGTGTTTAAAGTGCAACTTTTTTTACGCATTACTTTAAATGATATAAAAAATTGCAGGTTCTCTTCATGTTGTTACAAAGCGGCTGATTGGCTTTTATATCGATCTTCAGCTTAAGTGTCTATAAATTTAAGTTTATTTCTTCGAATTTATTTAAGTATTTCTATGAATTGTTGCTTTTATTCGCGAATATACGCTCGAGGTTTATTGTTTTTTAATTGTTTCTAAGAATTCGAACTCAGAGCTTCAGGCGAAAGAAAATTCTCGTACATTTCGTCTTTTTTACTGCTCTTTTTGTCGCTATTTGCCATTTTATTCCTTTTATCCATTTTAATCAATTTAATAAAGATTCAGTCTGCGCTCTTTCCTTATAAGTTTCCAATTTGTGGGCAATATACTATATTCCTTACGGGTAATTATAATTCCGCGATACGTGTAACAATAGTAACAGTGCGCGAAATATCGTAAAACACAAACGACGAACATCCGCGCCAAATATCAGCGTTCAGTCACAAAAAAGTTTAAAAAGTTTTATAACCGTTCGAATACTCATCAATATCCATTTAATCATTGTGAGTCATCCGCATGCAAATTAAATTATTTCATCGTCACAGTGAAGTCCGGTTGGAGGTAATAAATACTTGACGTCACAGCTGAGTAATTTTCAGCCGACATAAATTCGCTGTATCAAAGCGTCATTTATGACGCTACGATGTGCCCAATTTTCTGATTGTATCACCATAATTTCACAATATATCTTGTCGACGATGCACACGCATGCGCGCGCTCACGTACTCTCTCGTAAACAAAAAAATCTGATACTAATTGCACATAATTCGCGGCGGGAATTAATATGCGCTGATACGTAACCCACGGCGATGAGTTTCGGGAACCTCATTCGGCGCCGGCCGACAAAAACAAAAAGAACCGTGTTTTCCCATAAGGGAAAAACACAATTTAAGGTTTTCATGAATCTCTATTTTTAAATATATTCGCTCGGTATCGGCTAGTTCAAAAAACGCCTTGAATATTTATATTCATGAACGATCAATTCAATAAATTCGTTCACACGGTCAGAAGTCCGAGCAGAAGTCCAAGCAGAATCGGGAAGAAACAAAAAAGATATTCAAGGTGAAATTTAGTGAACCTGACGATCTTTCTTGGCTGACCGGCAGTTTCCATTCGCGGGACGCGATATTATCGCACGTGTCAGGTCGTAATTGTTTGACGACGTAGAGCGATCCGCCCGCGCCGTCGCATCTCTCACAGACAAAATATTACTCCGCGCGATAGTGATACGTTCGCAATTGCGCAACTAATTGTTGAAAATATGTTTACCGGCTTGTTAGCTGACTCACGAAGCGCGAATAAAATGTCGTAAGGCGGCATTTTACGAGAGTGCGCTCCTGAAACTCGTCGCGTGCGATTTATGTGCTCGCTGATTTTCTCAATCTCCATGATTACGGTGTTGTGGGAGTCGGTGCGCGGCTACGACAACTCGACGATTTTCATATCGAAGATCAACAATCTAAACAAGCGATAATTCACGTCCGGCAAATATACCGAACGACGATCTCGCGTAAGAGCTCTCGCCTTGACGCGCGCTGAGAAAAAAGCGTCCGGTATTCGCGACTACAATTGTATAGTGCATTATTTACAACTAAGAAAGAAATTCTTCTTTGTAGTAGATATGCTATTGCAGCGTTGCTAGGATAATGTGCACACATCTATTATTTTTTGTATTACAACAGCAGAAAATATATAGTTTTCACCGGAGATGTCATTTTAACGAAAGTCGGCAGTTTCTTTTTTTCTTCCTTCATTGTGAAAGACAGACAAATTGTGTGTCTGATTCTGCTACAGAGTGCCCGAGGATCGTCAGTCGGGAGGAATGGAAGGCCAGGAAGCGTCTGGACTTTGAGCTGCTGCCGGTGACACCGACGCCGTACGTGGTGATCCACCATGGCGGTATACCTAAATACTGCACTGACCAGGAATCGTGCTCCGCGATCGTTCGATCTTACCAGAATCTCCACTTAGATAACCGAGGCTGGTGGGACATCGGTTACAATTTCCTCGTCGGCGAAGACGGGAATGTCTACATGGGCCGCGGTTGGGACTACGTCGGCGCCCATGCACCTGGTTACAATACGCAGAGCATCGGCATATGCGTTCTGGGAGATTTCAGCGGTACTTGAGATTATCTGTTTACGTCGATCGAGTTACTCGAGATCGCGTACGGTTGAACGCAGCGCAAATCGTGCAAACCTAGCGATACGATCGTTTTACCAAATCGTCATTTAAATCGTCGAGAGGTCTTTGGAAATAATATCAATTTCACATCGCTGCATCGTTCATCCGAAGGTCACCTTCGCTGTCGAGTCTGTTTCTCGTAGAAAAATAATCAGATTCGACGAGGAAGAAGAAGAGACCTGTTTACGCTTAAGGCAGCAAAATATGATTGGGACACGGGACGTCATGTACCGCGATAAAAACAGCCGCGCTTCTTCTGCGTCAATGCGCTCATTGACGTAATGCAAATATGATTCCGCAGACTTTCTCCCGAACGCGGCCGCCCTGAAGACGCTGAACGAGCTGATAGCATGCGGGGTTTCACTCGGCAAGATAAGCGACAAGTACAACGTGATCGGCCACCGGCAGACACGGCCAACGGAGTGTCCTGGTGAATCCTTCTACAAGTACGTAACCGCTCTTCCCCGTTGGACTTCGAGTCCGATACCGCACACCACCACCACCACCACCACCACTACCACGACCACGACGACGGAGGCAGCGGAACGAAAGGGCAACAACGTGGAAGAAAACGGCAAATCCGTCGCCTCATGATGACTCTTGCGCTTCCTCGCTCCTCTCGCTCCTCTCGCAAAGCAAATGACATTTACGTTGAACATTACTACTACTACTCAACGCAAAAAGAAGACTTGACAGACCAAGAAGGACTCGCAGTATCACATCGATGAGATCATCCCGCTCTTGTTGCGAGACGCTCGCACCATTTACGTAATCATAGCTGGTAACTTAATATTCCTACTTTTTTCTCTTTTTTTTCTTTAACAAGTTGCGGATGAGCATGCACTTGACTAAGAGAACAGTCGCAGGCTATTCTTGTAGGATACAAATGTAATTTTAGTGCGCCGACATTTCGGTATGCCGGAATATGTTGAATAACCGCTGCTACCTCTCTCTACGCGTTCGTTACGAAAGGTCTTCTTCGCTGGGGAAACGTCCGTCGTCCTTCAGTTCGTTCGTTCGTTCGTTCGTTCGTTCGTTCTACAGAGAACGGTTCTACCGAGAACAGGCTTGTGAAGGTAGTTCCCCCATGTCCCAGATTCCGCCAGTGCGCCATGTGCGCGCGCTCGACATCGATGACACAAATTAGTGACTAGAGTCAATGACGCGAATGAGACTTATTAATTGACGAGGACGACGTGTACTGTCGTCGATACTGTACGCAGTTTATCGTAAACACCGACGAGTGCTCCCGATTACATCGCTGTAGTCCGACGAAGGAGATCGATGTACGGGTTCGCGTGCCCGAGCCGTACTTTTGCGTACGCCTATGGAACCGCATGGGCCCCCCGCGAGGTCACGGCCTGCGTGTTTAATTAGTTAATAATGATAATTGAAGATCACCGCGCGACGTGATTCTCTCCGGCGGGATGAATATCTTCACGCATGTAGTTTTGATAAGATCTCTGGGCGCCAGCGCATACATACTTCATAATTATGTAAATGGCCTGCAAATTACGATCGGAACCTTTTTACGGACGCCGAAACGATCCCGTAGCGTGTATGTCGGCGGAAGGACGCGGAAAGTAAGACCGTACACAATTCTCACGGAGATCGACCGCCGATCGACACAGAAGCAATTTCCGAAAATTATACATATGTGCAAATTTTCGCGGACGACGACCAGACCAGCCACCGCTGACGGTCCTCTTCGATTCCTCCTTGTCGGCGCGGAGAGCGTTACCGAGTTATATTTAAACGATTGCGAGTTATATTTAAACGATTGCGAATAGCAGAATTGAAAAAAGAAAGAAATGAAATATCAAATTGTCGATTAATCATAATGATCGATTGCATCTCCCGGGAGAGTCATTAAATATTGCGGGAGTCCAATCGACAAGATCGTCGGTATCGCTTAATGTAAGATGACATATTCTCTACTTGGTACGTGTTCTTGTCAAGCACTCTGCGGAAAAATGAGAGAAGAAAATAATCGAACTCCCCGGCGGGAGTCCCTAGCGCGTTTCGCCGGTCGTGCGAGTCAACTCGAACGGTCGGCTTCGATCATCGTGAACATTGAACATTGAAACGATGCGTATTTATCGATTAATTCCAAATAACGATCGACTAATCGGCACGCATGATCGACTTTTCAATGTTCCTGAAAGAGTCTGTTCCTTTTAAACAGTACAAACGAGTAGTTAGTGACGTTGCGTCGCAATTATTTGTATTTATCGTTTTCGTCCATTAAAGTAGAATTAGACAGTGTTCCATCTATGTATATAATATTTATGTATATCATTTGACAATGAAATAAATATATGTCGTAGCGTGTGTCGTACTATCTCGTTACATTCGTGTTTTCTCCTTTTCATTCACATCAAGTTTCATTGCGTTGCGTAAGAAGAAGGAATTAAACTCCTCGTTATTAGTCAAGTTTGTTGTTCGTGCGAAACTTATTTGAGCGACGAGGGTATCTCATGAATTTCTCGTCTGAATGAATTTTTCTTTCCTAATTAATTTTTTGCTTTACGGTAAAAATTAACGAATCAACATTGTTTTCTGATTACACCGTGTCTTACCTTATTCATGGCTGTGGTTCCCGTTTCAAGCCTCACTTCTCCTCCTTCATCCCCGTTAAGCAAATAATGAGATTAGTTGGAAAGACCCACAGGGAAGTCCAAATGAGGGAGTGTGTTGTTACATACACAGATATGTACACACGTACGTACGCGTAATGGTATCACAGTGTGCACAGATGTGTACACAACCTACACAAGAAGCGGTCAAAGATCATGACTCGTGAGTTATATCGTTAATTAAGAGGATAATCGTATATAATGCGAAATTGCGCCTCGTAGCATCAGTAGTCAAAGTGGCGTTTAGCGTGTCAAAATGTTCGTCGCAACGTCAACATCAGCGGTGTTCATCGCGGCGGCCTACTTGACGCTCCTCATCCCGGAGACCGCAGCCAGTAATATATTAATTATATTAACCGCGTTAACATGTTACGGGCCTCGTACCGCGAATATTATCTCACGTCGAGATAGCCGGAATATCGCGGTGACCGTCGTCAGTTCTCCACGTAAGCGCGAACATTTTGCGTTAACACGTATTAATCGTTCTCGAGTTACATCGCACGCATAAGAGAATTTATTCATGCTTCCGTCATTTCTACGATGTTGTGTGACCTTGACACGCATTGTCTCAATAGCGTCGCTATTTTGTATTCGATCACAAGGTTATCACTCCGAATCATTCCGCGAAATGTTGATAAATGACTTTCCTCTGACATTTCTATCGCCGATGTTTTCTTCATCAGCCGTTATTTCGCAATTGCTCAGCCATATCACTAATCGCCGATGGCTGATTAAGCGCCAATATTACAGTGGTCTCAGTCTATTCGCTTGTCATGCGATTAAAATGTATTCATCGACGCAATAAGTTTTTGCAAAGTACAAGGTGGCGTTTAATGATCAACAAAGTCTCTCTCGTATAATCGCTAATTACTCAATTACAGTTAATATATTTACATCCCGAGACAATCTTCGAAGTGTGCGATATGATAATTATAATTTTTTAAACGATCGCGGAAGCGAGAAATATTTTCACTCTTCTACTTCTGTAAACACGCTCTCGGTTTTATTTTCCCCTGTTAAAAGTGGAAGTTGTAATAATATATTTCAATGGCTTCTTATACGCGAGTTTCGTAGCCTTATAATCCTTGGTTCTTAAGGACCGAGCTCGTCATATCGACCCTGTAACATAAATTGCCAGATAATATGAATGATTTTGTTTCCATGAAAGACCAACAAAATTCAAAACGGCGTGTGAGTTTATAAATCTCCGCCTTTTCGTCTTTCGTCGGTTCGAAGATACACGTATATCGAAAATATACATGCCGGCAACTGCGCTTAACGTTCGAGGTATCAATTAATATTCTGATTTATGTTTATGATGATCAAATCAATTATAGGTGTTTCGAATAAGTATGATATTAAATCTGTCAACTTATAAATTTGACATCACGCGTGAGTTCTTATATGCTAAATGAAGTCATTAATTATCATTTAAATCTTCCGACGCCCGATATCGTTAAGAGGACTATCTTATTTTTTCAGCTGCTCCGACGATCATCTCGAGAGCGCAATGGGGCGCCAGAGCACCCAAGCACCAAGCTGCCAATCTCGCGAGAAAACCAGCGCCTTACGTTGTCCTTCATCATTCGACCGGCAATGGCTGCGTGACTCAAGCCATATGCCAGCTGAAAGTGAGAGAATTCCAGGTGAATCGCTGCGAGAAAACAAATAAGCATTCGCAGAATAACGAGCTCATAGCTTTCGATTCACCGATGCCCAAAAGAGAACTAGTCAAAGTAGAACTATTTGTTTCTTGTCTTCTTCCTCTTTTATCAAAACAGGACAATCTTCCATCCTAAGCTCAGTTTGCTCCTTTCTTCTGGTTTCTTGCTTGTGGAATAACAAATATGACGACAACTCTCGTATGTATCATATACACCCGCATAATCGTCGAATCTTGTGTGTTTCAAGAACTATCACATGAATAGCAAAAAGTGGTCCGACGTCGGCTATAATTTCATAGTCGGCGAAGACGGCAACATCTACGAAGGCCGCGGCTGGGGCAAGCAAGGCGCTCACTCCAAGCCCTTCAATAACAAGAGCATCGGGATATGCATCATTGGCGATTACACCAGTGAGTTACACCAGTGAGAAAGAATATGAAGTCTATCCCATCGTTATATTTTTTAATGAATTCTTCAACTCGATGTAGACCGAACACCAAACTCAGCTGCGGTTCAAGCTGTCGACAGTCTGATCGCTTATGGCGTGTCCAGCGGCGAAATAAAGAATGACTACAAGCTGCTTGGCCACCGGCAAACCTGGCAGACTAATTGTCCTGGAAACAGTCTTTACACCATGATGCAATCGTGGCCTCATTGGGCGGCGGCTGCTTAGTAAACATAATTTTTTACATCGATACGTTCCAATCAGCCGTGATCGGGACGATCAGGTCGTAAGCTACGATTGCTTTTGTAATTTTATATTTATGTGTCATTGGTTACTGAATCTGTCACACATATCCGAAGAGATATAAGTCGAGCCGTTTTTGTTTATTTATTGTAATCTGTATAAAGTAGCACATGTAATAATTTAACGATATTATTAAAATGAGGTCGTCGATCGAAGACACGCGATGTTTCCTCGTGGCAGTCACACGTAGATAGTCACGAGGCCGTTGACGTAGGTATCGTAAGTGTCTTCCTCGGTCCTGACGCAAATTTCTAGGCTCGAGAAATCAGGTGTCACGTCATCCTTCCCGTAATCAACCTGGTCCCTCACCTGGAACAGATTCAAATTCTCTGAAACCTTCCCGCCGTCAAGAGTTTCGTCAAAAATCGCTTCGATGAGTTTTTTACATCTTCGAGGGTACAGCTCAACGCAAACAAGAGCCAGCGCTGTTCGATACAACGAAGGAAACATGTACTTTTGCATTCAGTTCGAGCGTCTTTTTCATAGTAAAGTAAATTGGATGTTTTTTATACAGCAATTTTTTATACAGCAAGCTAAATTTATTCTTAAAGCAAATATGACGTGAGCTCTGGAGAGAATACCCCGAAAAAACCGTGGCAGCGAACGCCTCAACGAGCGCGATGATTATGCACCTCGAATGGAATCCACCTGCCGAATCGCTCGTTCATCTTCTCTATACACACTTTCGTCCCATAGGGAATACCGGATTTGAGATTACCGGCGACGGTGACGTAACGATTGCGGCCGTCCAAGTAATCCTGAAATATGTCTCCGAGTTGAACGCAGCCGACGAGGTAATTCTCACGGATTATTCTCAAACCTGAAGAGTGTTCAGTTTTTCGCCCCTCTCGTCCAGATGATTGCGTTTGTCGTCTGTTCCGAACACGGGATAATACGCGGTGAGGGATGCATTGTGGTGAGCGCGCCCTGAACACTTCAGGTTCGTTCTATTCAAGCTGTCATCTGAGAGATCGTGACAACGTTAAGCAAGCACTCGAGCGAGGTTGAGCGCGTGTAAAATCTAATCGCTATAAGCGAGACTACTGAGTCCTCACAAATCCGCACGCCGTAACCACAACGAAGTACAGATTTAACCTTTTGCACTCGGAATGCTAACACGGCTGGTACGAACGTTTATTCCGGCAACTCGGAATGCCAGGTGTGCTGACACGAAAATATTTAAAGAAGGAAAGCAATAAAACAATAAAATGCGGCGACAACATTAAGGGAAATAAAGATCCTTTTTTGCAGTTTTTCTAGGAAACTTTAGAAATAATATTTATAATTATCGAATCGGTGGAAGGAAATGTGGAAATATTCTTCGAGGGTTGCAAAGGGTTAAGCTGGAAAGCCGACCAGGATACCACCGTAAATTCGAGTAAACACCGTAAATGCTTGAGAGGCGGATAGAAGTAACGGTAAATCCAATCATACTTAAGCACACTTAAATAACGAGAACTTAAACGGGAGAACTTAAAAATGCTGCTCACCGCTCGCGAAGGCCACGGAGAACAGGAAGAAGGCGAAAATCAGCATGGACATTTTGGACTTCGCGGTTGGTCGGCGATTCGTGACAATCTTGTGACAATGGATATTCTGATCGTTGAACGACCGAGCGACCGCTTTAAAGCCGAGCGATCTTTATACAATGACGATCGGAATTCGCTAACGTTTGACAATTCGCTCGCGCACGTGCGATACCTCCAGCTGACGAGAGAGCAATCAAGATCACCGCAAGCGTCACACACAAGCGCGATGGATCGTCCTACTTTTGAAAATTGTCATCGCGTGATCGATTGTGTCGCGTACACGCGCATTGAGAGAGAAAAGATGCTCAATCTGCGAATCACAATCACTTTCAGCATCGGTTATATCCGTCGGCTGTTTTGACAAAAAAACAAAGCAAAGCAACGATTTGCTATGTAAGATTGCTATCAATTTAACGGTATTTACGTCGCAAGAGTGGATTTCCCGTCAGTAAGTATTTTAGCGTAATTAGTCGCAAATAACGCGTTGTTTCCTCAGCGAAGCGATAATGCGAAGCATGCTTCTTGAGCAATGCGTGATCCCGATATACCTGTTTCACGTTTAAGCACACTTGAGCGACATCGATTATTTGATTACTCATTTATTAACGACGTGTATCCGCGAGTCCGTGCAATGCCACGCAAGAAATGGATTCTCACGGTGGTAGCTCGCAGAATTGCTCCACGTATTTATTATTCACACGTCCTACGTCACGGCTTTTTACGCTTTTCGGAAAAAATATGTTATTAAATATATGTATCAATTATACGCGCGGAAGTCTCTCTCTCTCTCTCTCTCTCTCTCTCTCTCTCTCTCTCTCTCTCTCCACAAAAGATACACTGAGGCAAGTCGCTAATAACTTTTACGCGAGCCTCCGAACGGCTCGTTCGAGTCCAGCTAGGCGATTAGAAAACTTCATTACCGCCTCCATAGAGTGGCGACACAGTGTGACTTTCTGACCTATAGCTCTCGTAAATAATACAGAAGCTCGCTGAATAGGACACGTGGAAAAGTACGCGTCGTCAGTCTTACGAGACGTCTCGGAGCGACTTGTACTCGGCTGTACTCCACCTCGGGGCTAAAAAGTATTTGGAACGAGTACAATGAATCAGAGTGACACTTTCGATGGTAGCGAGTTACTCGACGCTCTGTGAACGCAGGGGATGAGAATGGGGATTCTCGTTAAACAATACGAGGCGACGCATTCGTGTTGATCTGCGATATCGCCAGGGCGACACTTCACGTTATTCCACGACTCGACTTCCTGCTGAACACTCGCGCGGGCTTTCGCCCGAACAGGTACTCAACTCTCGTAATCTCAGGTGATAGATACGCGAACGATACTTGCTACGTCGCATGTAATATGTCTCCGGTGCACGTTTTCAAATCGTTTGTTCACTCGAGATCCGCGCGCGCGCGCGAGAGAGATGCTCGGTGTGTTCACGATTACGATTGCTCATTTACAGCGCGATAATTGCAGCCTGTGAGGGCACTTTTCCGTCACGTGATTCTCAACTCTCTGCACATCGCACTTTTGCTTCTGCGTATCGCGACGATAAAATCGGCCGGCGAAGAGCGCACACGCGACGCCGAGATACCTATGAGCTACAGCATGATCGATGTGTCATTGCTCCGTACCCACTAACATCGATTCCTAGGCCGCGATGCAACAAACAAATAAAAGCAACTACGACGAGTTTGCCGGAGGCGAGGAGGCGTCGAATTGGGACGAGACGAAAAGAAGAGTCGTCGATAATCGTCTCGAGCCCATTACACTGGGTCAGGGTTATCGCGACAAACCGATGGCGCCGATGAGCGGAAGATAAGGTCGTCCCTTAACGAAATTATCCGTCGGAAAAGAATCGACCCACCGCGCGTTATATCCGTATCAAACCGCGCTCGATCGGACGGAAAAACACAAACTCGCCCCGCGACGAGTTCCAGTTTATCAAACCGGGCCGCTCTTTCTAATACTCCCTTCAGGGCTCGACCTATCCACCCTCTCCCTCCCGCCAGGCAATTTATCGTTGCGACCGTAACGCGCGGTTTCCCGCGGTTATTGACGCAAAGACAGAGAGAGAGAGAGAGAGAGTGAGAGAGGGTGAGGAGGGGGAGAGGAAAGAAGATAAACACGCGCAGTGGCGCATCGCTTATTCCATTTCAAAGAGTCGATCGAACGCGCGGCGCGATTCCCGCCCACGAGGATGAACTTCTGCCGGAGGAAATCGCAACCGTCCCGGCATCGGCATGAATTCTTCATCGATGCCGGATCACTTATTTATCAGCCGGCTTCGGGCTGGACGCTGCGGTCCCACGTGAAAATCCGAGAGAGCCGGCTGGGCAGCGACGACCGGACCTCGCAGGTGGCGTCTCGACGGCTCCGTCGAGCCAACGCGCTTCATTCGACGCGCAACGCTTCCTCGTGTCACACGTCGTCGTCGACGTCGCCGACGTGTACGCTTCGCAGACGCGCCTCCCGCGACCTGCGTATGATAGCGTTCGTTCTCAGGCGCGAATGTCGTCTCTAAAGTCGAGTCGTGAATCCGAGCCGAGCCAGGTACCACTTTTCTTTCTTCGATTCGCACGCTGCGAGCAGCACAGCACGCCGGCCAAAGCACCCACCGGATTCATTTGGATCCGCTTTTCTGCATTATTCATTAGACAGATAGCGAAAAGCGCTTCATTTCGTTTCTTTCTTAGCGAAACGCGAAGCGTATATAACCTTTGTTCGTGCTTCTTTACGCCTTAACGCTAGAGGAGTTTTCTCCGAAAACTCCGAAAATTTTGCACTCTGGGCCAAACAGACATATTTGATCTCATAATTATGCTCATATCTGACGTCGTTGATATTTTTTGTTGCGCCAGCCGAGAAATATTAACAACTATTTGCATATAAAGTGACAGTCGCGCTGCTTGCTGAGAGGAATCGATATTATTATTCATTCTTTTTATTCCCCCAGTTCTTTCCTTCGCGATTCGACTTCTTTCCTTTGAAATCCAATTATGAATCATAAATATCATTAGTCACTTTATTTCGAAAGTCTTATTTTATCTCCATTTTGAAATTCTCTCCTTCGAAACCCAATTATGAATTATAAATATCATTAGTCATTTTATTTTTGAAGTCTTCGTCGCCCGTCCTCGAGCTATCTCGAACTCGTAACATTTGTTCTTGCCAAATAGCCGTCTCACACTCACAAACACACTGGTCTGGTTTAACAGGAACCCGCGTTCGCGAGACTTAGCGTTCGTGTTTGCATTTGCAATTGAGATCGAAAGAGCTTATTCACGGTTTCTGTTTGCTGCCTCGCTTGTCTGCTTGGACTTGAAAATTAAACATGTATGTTACACATCGAGCGTTTTTCCAAGACTTCCCCATAGTTATTTAATACGCATATCAACACGCTTTAATAACAGTGACACGTGGAATCCGCGCTGTTAAAAACTCCGCACGGAAGCTCCACTCGTTATCTTCCTACTCGCCGTCGCGAGTATCATTATCACGAATTCATTTGTACTTTAAACATTTTTACATTCAGCACCATACTGCCGACGAAAAAAAAAGACTTTGCAACGAGTTTTGCAACGCATTCGAACAGGGGAATTTCTCGTCTCGTATGTGACGATAATTATTGAAAGAGAAACTCTCTTGACCTCAGAAGGTCTGAATTGCAAGAGAGCCTTCCCGACTTGCTGACAAATTTTCCCACTGGACTCCGAACGCGTTCTGAAATTCATACGGGGTACGACATGCGTCCGCGTGTCTTAAACGACGGAAGCGCGTGTGTACGAAGATCGCTGAATGTTTCGCAAAAACAAAAAGTACGTAACGCGACGCGATAACGCCGCGCGGTACATTTGCATTCCGCCGTACGAACGCAGAAACGGGGAATTCACCGGGAGTCCGCGCAAGAGGAAAAATCAAGGATCCGCGCAGCGTGTTCCGGATTAATCGTGCACGCGCCGATTATATGTCATTTAAGCGAGTGATCTAACACGTGCGATAACGCGTCGTGCATATCAACGGAATTGCAATTATAAATCGCCGTGGCCGACCGACCTGCGATTAAATAATCGTTTAACGCTCGCGGTTTCTTCCGCGGTCGTTTTTATCGTCAACCGCAGCGGTAATTACCGAAGCCGCATCGCGCAATGCGATCATATTTTCCGCGTTACGGCGAGCACAGCGGCTCTCGCGCGCTGATCAGGAAACCCGACTGGACGTAAATTTCAATCGAACCGTCGCATCCCCCAAAGCTGAGGCAGACTTTACGGCTAAACGCGAAACCCGGAAGCTCTCGTGGTTACCCGCCGTCTGAACTTTCGGCTAATCCCAATGTTTCGCGTGATCGCGTAAATGTCGCTATTACATCGCAACCCTTCAATCGCCCGCATGACCGACCATGAATATGCGAGTGAAAATACGTCCGGACACTGTAGAACACGCTGTAACGCTCGAATCGATAACGGTGGAATCGGGGAAATACCTATACCTGCGAAATCTGTCTGTTGGCTCCTTATAGATTGTAAAACACATATTGAGTTCTTACGTAACGCTGTCGTTCCCAGCGGCGAACACGCTCGCGCGTTTCGTGCTGCGAAGCGCGTAACTCTTCGGTTTGTCTTACGCGAACGGAATGAAACTAAATTAGAACAGAAAGAGAGGAAGAGAGAATGCGAGAAGGAGAGGGAGGAATTAATCAAATTACACTAAAAGAACAGCAAATTTGGCTGAAAAAATCGGAGCGGTTGCATGGCTTCGTGCAACTCTGAAATCAAGTTCGTTTAACCTCGAATTGTTCAACCGAAGTTCCACTTGGCTTGCTATGCAAGCCGATTTTTCTTTTTTCTTTTCATACGATACACCTTCGAAACATCTCCACTGGCCCTCTAGCCCCATCCCTCTGACCCCTCTTTCGGACCCATGTGCTTTCCGTTGCAGAGGCTCAAATGACCTCGTCAGCGGTCAAGACCTGGTTGCACCGTGGCGAGCTCGAGAGACTCGAGAATGTAGTGTTGGAGGGTCGAGGTGCGTGCTTATTGGGCGAACACTCGCAGGACCTTCGAACTCGTGTCTTCCTGAAGGGACTCCCGAACTACTTGGTAAGAAGATTCCCTCCCTCGCTTCTTGGTGCTTGGGCGCTTCTTCAAGATTCGACTGACGACACGTTCTGTGCGTTTCAGACGAAGATCGCTCAAGTGCACGACGCTGTGGAGCGCTGCTCATTAGCGGAGACGCAGCGGATCATAGCCGAGGAGTCGAAGAAGAAGTTGGCCATCGCCAAGGACTCTTGCGGCACCCCCTTGATACACAAGGCGGTCTACTACGATCAAGCCGACATCGTCGCATGGCTCGTAGAGAACTACCCCATCACGCCGCAGCAGAAAGATAAGGTGGGTGTCGCGCATTCCTGGCTCGCGAGATCGCCATCGAAGGACACGCGAGGAACTTCATTTCGCGACGTGTGCTCGAACAGTCCCAGCTAATCGCCGCGATATCAATTTCGATGATTACAGGATCGATAATCGAGCTACTACTCTCGTGGAAGCGAGAAGTCGAGAAATTAGTTTCACGGAGTCCTCCTCGCGAGTCGCGCTGTTTGCGCAACATAATGTCTCTCTAATTGCTTTAATTTAGCCGACTCCTAATGGACGCGAGTGTCGATCGATTATCCCCGTGGCGATTCGCTCACGAGCGATCTACTTTCGCGAAAACGGAATCGCGCCGCAGCGCGAACGTGAAGATCCTCCTGCGAAATCAACGTTTCGCGGGGAGGAGGAATACCGAATAATCGAGCGGTTTCTTTCCGTCGCGCTAATCGCGTGACGCCGATAATAACCAAGTGTAAACCACCTGTTCTGCCCTCGTAGACATTAGCTCGCACGCGGGCGTCCGCACGCACCGCTCGAAGGCGCGGCCGACCCTCGGCGTATATCAGCCCTAGCGAGCATCCATGACTCCGCACTTCCCCCGCGGATAGCCGGCGAACACGCGAGAAAGAGAAAACGCGCTCGCCTGTCGAATCGAATAATTAGACGGTCAGGCGACGACAATCGAATAATCTGACTGTCGAGATCACCCTCGTACTGTCCAGGAGGGGAGGACAGCTCTGCACTATTGCGCCGCGTGCAAGGACTCCAACGCGATCTGGGATCTTCTTCTCGAAGGCGGATGTGACGCCAGCGTTTGCGACAAAAGGGGGAATCCGGCGGCCTATTACTTGGAACACAGCGCGGAAATTGAATTGCCAGAAGTGGAGATCATGTCCCGTCGGAGGAAAAGTACCGGAAAGGATTGTGAGTATGGCCTCTCTCTCTCTCTCTCTCTCTCTCTCTCTCTCTCAGGTCACTCCAGAATGAGAATAGGAGGAAAAACGCAAGAATAAGGAGGAGCCTGACGACTGGCGTATCGAGAGAGCTACATTCGACGATTACAGTTTCCCTTTTTTCTCTCTCTTATTCCTCGATACGTCGACGTGATATTAATCAAGTCAAATTAAAGGGTTCATTTATCCTGTCAAAAGAACATATACGTGATTTTCTCTTCTTCGGAAGAGCCGTAAGAAAAATGCAACGAGATGTGAACTCTTACAAATCGGAACCTCTTACAGCAAGTTGAAATCTTGCTCGAGAAATAAACCCGGGAACTAAAATCGAGACAACTGGAAGTGCAACGACACTCTCTATTTCCACGCAATATTATCTACCATTAAAGAAAGAAGGGCTGCGACAAGCGAGGTGTTTTCACAAGGTTTATACGAGGCCATTCGTATAAACCCGCACGACACATTGTACGTTTCACGTCCTACACATGCTTTTAAATATTACATGAACCGCTGAATCATTAGAAAAAAAAATTCGTGGAAACTTCGCACGTGCGAGTCGCGCGGCGCGTTATAGCGAATTCGTTCATATTTCCTACATCCGCGGCTATAGATTCTCAGTTTCTCTCTCTCTCTCTCTCTCTCTCTCTCTCCCTCTCTCTCTCTTATACCCCACACATTCGTTTCTAATGACCGTGAAAAATCGATAGCACATAAATTCGTAAGGCAAGGCTAACCGCGGCGCTCGATACGACGACGCGATCGAAACGCGAAGAATTACCGCCCACCCGACGGGGTGGCACAAATTATGTAGCGCCTAAACGAAAGAGGAAATTGCCCGGTCGCACACGACGATACAACGACGTGCGTCGGACTTTTCGTTTTTAACGCGCCCTCAAATATTATTGCTCATGCATATCGCGTCGCGAGTCGAGTCGGGACATACACGAGCTGCGTCTGGCGCGCGACATGTAAATGGCAAACGGGTGAACCGACAAGCAACAGCGACATGGCACGAGGAATTAACTGTTCCACGTGGAAACGGTATTTCCGCCTGAACACAGACGTAATTAGGTCGCAGTAGATCGACCGATCTTCAACGAGTAAGAAAGACCGGGTTCTAATTTCGTCGGCGATAAGAACCCATTCTATCCGTTCTCTTCGATCGCGCACGCCGGCAATTCCTTTTGAGAATTGCTAGCCGAAGCTATTTCCTGTAAACATATATCCCGTCGATCGTCTTCGTGCCTCCATGCGCGAGACATGCATGGAGAAGATTCGCCGAATCGCTCGCGCAAGATCGATCGTATGCGGGGCATGTGTACGAGTCGCTCTGACAAATTAAATTAAAATTAATTTCCCGCGCGCGTCGAGTAATCAGCGAATTATAGCGCGATGACGCCGCGTTTTATCTTGCACCGTAAAAGCGCGATTCGCCGCAAACCTCGCGACGCGCGATTCCAGTCAACCCGCCGCGGCGCAATTAAAGTCTCAACGGCGACCCGTCGTCGCGCGCGATGATCGATCGCCATGGATGGTTATTGTTTTCGAGCATCCGTCCGAAGGAAGTCTCGCGTGAGCGCGGCGTTTCGCAAACGAGATCGCGGCCGTAATAATTCATCGCGCGATACGGACGCGCCGCGTCGGCCAAAAGGCCGCAAACAGACCGTGCGCGAGGAGTTTCTTTCAGCTCAGAATAACGCAATGTCTATATGCAGCGTAGAACGCGAAGGCAACGCGAAGTGTGTCAGTAATCAGCAACTCGGACTTCCTCCGGATGCGACGGGGACTCGCTCGCTGCCTCCTGGAAAATTTATTAACCGGCGATCGGGCGCGTCTTCAGGACGTTGTGAAATATTAAGGCGGGTAGTCGTGCACGTAACTATTACCGTAACTATTACCGAACGCTATGCTTCGATACGTCGAATCGTGCCCGTCAAGTCGGACACGTTCGACTAAAATAGATATGCCCCTGCATGTGCATTACATGCCTGCGCAAGGCTGTCGAATATTTTGTTATTGTTAGCCTTGTTTCTTTTGCGGATAATAACGGGATACACGCCACACCGTTAAATCGAAGCGTCTGCCGTGAAGCGTCCGCGTTATGAATGACAGGCTCGGTGTCGTATCAGCTCGAGTCGAGTCGAACGAACTGACTTTCAGGGTTGTGTATTTCAGGGCGGGTCGAGCGCTCTCAGCATATTTCGCTCCTCTCTTTCCCTTTTCTTATTTTGATTCCGATTTGAATTTCTACCTTTCCTGTGCGACTCTGAGTCTAAGCTGCATTTTGCTGATCTTCTTTCTTCCTAGCCAGCACTTTCGAGCAATTGCGGAGTAAATGTAACGTCCTTTGAGCTGAGAAATTTCCATGCGATTCCTACAACATTTTGCGCGTCTTGATGCATGAAAAGTTGAGCTGCTTCCTCATTTGCGTTCTTAAAGGGTGTTTTACAAGGTGCTGCTCTTATCGCTTTGAGCAAACTTCTTGATTCGCCAGAGAATTTGCTGATATAAACTTCCCCTATTTTTAACGTCTAAAATTTAGAATTCGCTGGTAAAAATCTTCTAGACGCTAGCGGGTAAAAATCGAGCGCCCGGAAGAATTGTAAAGACTGTCAAAGCGAATAAAAGCAGCATCGTGTAAATTACCCTCAGAGTCCTCGGCCGAATTTCGTGTCTAAATGCGCGAGCGTGACGCTAACGATATACAATGACCTTTCGCGCAGATCTCGACTGCAAGCCTTCCAATATCAGGATATGGATACACAACAGGGACATCGGGAAATTGCAGCAAGTACTGTGGGAGGGACACGGGGCGAAATTGCGGTGCGAGACCAGCAACAGTCCTCGAATCAGAAAATTCCTGGAGGCCGTGCCCTTCATCATGGTACGTTGGCGTAGTAGAATAGAATCATTCTTCGCCGCATGCGAGCGACCGATTCTTCTTTGCTTTCATAAATTTTGGAACCATCATGTTTTGATTTATTTACATGCTGTTTGTACGTACCGCAAAGAGGCTATTCTCCATGAACAAAAAATAAATGAATAAATTCCGGCCGATATTTTCAGGGCACAATAAAGGACATTCACACGGCGACCATCAACAACGATTTGGATGGCCTGAAGAAAAAACTGGAGGAACCCGTTTCGCCGGTCGTCCTGGGAGGCAAGGACTGCAACGGCTTGAACGCATTGCACAAGGTAGGATCTCTCGTGATATAATTGCTCCATATAAATGGAAATTACCGAGAAATAAATTTCACTCTTATCGCGAGAAGGCCGCCGGCTTGGGGCATGCGGACATCGCGCGTGAGATCCTCGAGAGGTATCCTACGGCGGTGGCGACTCAGGACAGCGAGGGGAAAACTCCGCTGCATTACGCGGCTGCGCTCAAGGACGACGGCGCCATGTACGACCTGCTGACGGAGCACGGGGCCGACGAGAGTAAATTGGATAATGTGAGTAACTTTCGCGTTATCCGCGAGAGAAGAATCAGGATTCGATCGCGACCTGATAACGTTTCGCATGTCTTACTGGAAAATCAGAGGCAAAAGGCGCCAGCCTTCTACAAGAACCGGCCTTCGGACGTGGACCTGACGAACCTGTCGGTGATACCGGATGCGCCTCGTGTCTCCGGCAGCGCCTACCCCAAAAACTGGGACTGGAGGATCCTGGAGGCGAACCAGCCTCTCAGCCGGGGGATGAAGAAGGTAATCAGCAGCAGCAGCGACATCGACAGCGCCTTCGGTAGCGCCGAGTCCACGACCAAAGATTCGGACGCCTCGAGCGAGGTACTTTTTCTCGTCGTTGCTTACGTTAAGACGCTCCTCGAAACTCGTCGATCGTTGCTCCGATCATTGTCAATTCCTTTAACACGCATCGTGTAATGTGGTACATCGCGCGAGAGCGCGTTACTAAATAATAGAGATATGCGAACTATTCGAATTCGAGTCGAATCTAAATGTAATTCGATTCGAAACCGAACCCCTATGATTCGAATTCGAATAGGAATCAAATACATTATCGTTTGCGTGCATCAGCTACAAAACAGGCCATCTGGGCCTGTATGTTTGAACCCTTAACTTGTAATTAACTTAACTTATAATTAATAACTTAATTATAAATTATTTTAATTATTTAAATATATATTTTACTTTAAGATGATATTACAACATTAATATTCCCTTTCATATTAAAATCTTCCATCATTATTTGCATGTTTAATAGTCATGTTAAATTTTTTAACGATTCGACTCGATTTCATTCGATTCGATTCGAATTCGAATTTAAAAAATGAGATTCGACTCGACGTAAAAATTCTTGATTCGCACATCTCTACTAAATAATTACTTGGCGTATCCACATCGCGTAAAATAATATCCTGGATGAGAGACGTGTGAGTAATAACGTAGGTGGCCTCGGTCTGAATGAGTAATTTGAAACGAGCAATTGAAAACCGAAGATTGGTATTCTTTTTCCTCGACACGTGAAACCTCCGTATGCGGTCTCGCCTCCATGATACTAAGGTTCACACGGGGGGTTTCACGGAACAGGTGAAAAGAGCGGACGACGAGCAGCCGCAGAACGAGGATGAGGAGGAGGAAGAGGAGGGGGAGGAGGCTGAGACTCCAAACGGAGGCATAGAGGAGGAGGAGGAGGAGAAGGAAGCGCAGAATGAAGGAGATGATGAGGCTAACAACGGCGATGAGAAGCAAGAAGAGGAGGGGGCGGAGGAGGGTCCGAACGATGAAGAAGCGAACGCGGAGGAGGAGGAGAAAGAGGAGCAGCAGGAGGAGGAGCAGGAGGAAACAAAAGCGGACGATTCCGAGGAGAAGGCATCCTCGGACGATGACGTAGTGATCGGACCAGTCGCGGAGCCGGAGAAAGATGAAGAGGATGCGGCCGAGGAATCCCCGAAGATCGAGGAAATCGCTGACGGCGAAAAAAACGATGAGGAGAGAAACGATCCTAGCACCGGCGACTCCGGCGTCGATGACCCTGCGCAGGACGAGGAGCAGGTATGATCTCGATCGTGTTGTCCGCTACGATCGTCACGACGCGCTGCGTCTTCTTCGGCAGGAGGACCAAAAAGCGATTCGACGTTTCGTCGCCCTCTCGTTGATTGGATTTTATTCACCGACCGTACGCAAATCGGCATTAAATAACATTAACGTACAATATATAAGGCTGTTGATATTTTCCACTTGCGCACATTTAAGATTTAACCATCACAATGACAGACTTCGGCTTTGACACAATGTTTCTGCTCTTCTTTGGATAATCGTCTATAACTATAAACCAGTAACGCGTGCTATAAAAAAAGAATTGTAACAACTTACTCGTGTGTGACGCGTTAAAGCTATTTTTGCCGGTTTGCATACACCTCAGCTGCATACACATTGAAATTTAACTGTTTGCCTTCTCAGCTGCTATATGTGTGTGTGTGTGTGTGTGTGTGTGTATGTGTATATGTATATATATTTAAATCGAACGTCCGGCATAGTCGGAGGTCGACTATCGACGGAACGCACAGCCGGGATCTCTCAATCTGTTCCCTCCGCCTAGATCGTTAGATAGGAAATGACATAATTATTGTATTATGCACAATGTAATGACAATTGCATACAATAATAATGCTGTTTGAACGAAGAAAAAGCTCGCCGTCTATTTATTTTGACGAAACGACGCTGAGATTCTTCGCGTTCTTCCGCCGGTGGCGGATATTAATTCATAAAGCGTGCCCCCGTTGTCGACGAACCTTTCCTCTCTGTCTGCGGACGTCACTTATGAGTACATATACGTTGTCGTACGTGGTGTGTACAGGCGCGGCAGGGGACGATCGATTCGCATGTAGGATTCCCAGACGCGATTAATATCTGCTATCGATCGCTACGTACCGCTCACTGCCGTGCGCATGATTTTGTACCTAGACATGACAGCAGGTCGTCGGAGAGCACGAGGAGTCCGCCGAGGTGGAACTCGACGAGGGTAGCATGGCCCGTGATCCGGAAGTGGACAACCTGCTGGCGAACGGTAACATGGAACAACTAGCGGCTCTAGTTCTCAACGGCGAAGGCCGGCGATTAGTCGGGCGACAATCCGGAAATCCGGAACTCCAAGCGTTCATCGACAATGTGCCGGCTTACATGGTACGTACATTGCTGTCACGTTGTTATACATTCAAACGTGTGCCTCTGTATGCGTGTGTAATATGTATTATATACGAAAGCGCCTCGAAGCAGCCTTTCGCCGAGACAATACTTCCCGCAACTCGCTAAGAAATTCTAAGCAGGAGAGTTTGCAACGTTGATATGAACTAGTTGATATGAAAAGGAGCCCAATAATTAGGACCGACAATATTCGATAAATTGAGTAAAAATAAAATTAAAATTTTCTCCTCGTTGGAGGTTTCCGTATAGGTCTGTTAACGATTCTCACGATGGGAAAAATCCGAGGGTCTCAAAATAATCATTGATTACATAAAGATATATTTGTAATTTTTTTATAAATGTTAGAAATACACGCACAAAATAATATATCCTTCCTCGCTCACACAGGGGAAGATCCACGCGGTGCACATGGCGGCGCGAGAAGGGAATCTCCGCGATTTGCAAAGCGCACTGGATCGCCGCAAATTCGCGGTGGCGCGGGACGAGTCGTCACCCCATGGCGCGACACCGTTGCACGTGGCGGTTGTGTTCGGCAATACAGCTGTCATCAGGTACTCAGCGTGGTACTCGATACTTCATTCCCAACTGCGCACTTGTACTCTTTCCTCTCGCGCTTGTCGTCCCACGCTCGGCGAAGGCTTACTTTTGCGAAGCCGATAAGACGCTTGAAGCCGCTTCCGAAGACGATCGACCAACCGCGAGGAAGCAAGTCTGTTCAATAATATAGACTGTGTATATCTGTTTAACTATTACAAGCCGATCGCCCCGCAGATATTGGCTCATAATTTATCCCGATCACGCGGCGATAAACCTTCCTTACGAGTGACAGGCTATAAGGCTCCATGCACCATCAGACTCACCGTCGTCCCATTGAATATTTCATACGTGAATATTTCATACGATTCAGGTACTTGGCAGGGAGGTTTCCAGAAACCGCCCACGCGATCGATCTCGACGGACGTACTCCGTTGCATTACGCTGCGACGCTCGCTGACAACGGTCATTATTACAATCTTCTGCTGCACCTGGGAGCTAACCCTCTAGTGCAGGACAACGTAAGTACTTCGTATCGTTTCCTTACGTCTTTTGCCTGCAAATGGTTCAAAGTCGAAAGCGACCTCAAAGACTATGATCTCTTCGTCAATAAATTGATACGGAACGAAATTTCGCTCTCGTTTGTTTCTTCCTCGTCATCAACGGTGAGAAAGTCACGAGTCAATTAAGATACGCGCGAATTCTCGAGCGAAGCGCCCCGGCAATTTCCGCCGACCGCTAATTTCCCACGGACGAGCGCAGAGCGTCCACGAAGTGTATCTTTTGTATTATCTTTTGTCACGTAGTTCGGACATAAGGCGGATTATTACAAGCAAAATCAAAGCGACCTGTCGCACAAAACGATTCTGCGCGATTTCGGGGCCAGCGAGCGGCTCGCCGACGAAATGCTGATGGACAAAGGTATTTCTTGATTTGAGGCATTCTTTTGAGCACTGATCGATAAACATGTGAACAGTTCTACGAGGAGTCGTCGTCCGCCGTCGGGCACTCGATCCCCGCGATCCTTCGTGTCACACACTCTCCTCGTGTATTCGTGTGATCAGGGGTAGTTCTTTATATTATAGTCACAGTAAGAGTCGAAGGTCCCCGTGAAATCACCAGATACGTCGCACAAGACTCGGCACTAACGTCCCCTCTCCCTGTGTCTCCCCTCACGATTTTTCGTCAAATGTATTTCCATCACCCTCCTTCCCCCCAACCCCTCACTTACGTGCGCGTCCCACACATTTATAACTCATTAATGCGATTATTTTGTGATATCCAGTTTCGCTCGGGACCAATTTAAACAAGCGTAGTCAGGTCGTCCCCCAAACGTCGTCGCGTAAGGATCCCAATACTCGAGATGTACTCGTTGAGCGCACCCACACGGATTCACACAACACACACACACACACATACACACACCCGAGTGCTGATCCCCTTTGACTTGACTTTCTTGTTTTGTGAACTGATTTCGCTTCGCTCGATCACTTGACGTGACACAGCACATAATCGATCCCCCCACAAACATGTCGAATAGCAAGGGAAAGTAAAGGAAAACATGATACGTCCAGAGAAAAGTAGGATAAAGTCGCCCCTCCCCTCACACTCTCTCCTTCCCCTCGAGCGGCCTGATTCTCAGCACTCACACGCTTCGACAAACCGTCACCATCCCTCCGTGAATCTCTTTGCTCACTCTTTCGCTCCCCCATCAACCCATCCCACCCCGACAACACCGATGGTAACTCGGCTGTTCTGTTGCCACCGCCGCCCGTTGCTGCTGACCCGGACGAGCCCCGAACAGTGCCCGGAGGTGACGTCTACTCCGCCCGGCGGGACGTGAGCGAGCCGGAGACACTGGCCATTCTGGAACGGTGTTTCCGTTTGCTGGCGAGTAACCGCCGGTCGTCCGTACCGAAGACTTCGTCGAACACCGGTACATTAGTCGGCCGTTGCCTGAAGCGGCCGGTATTCGATCTGATCAAGCACCGTGTGACTCGCATGGACCACAATCTCTTTGACGTGATCTGGCCGGCGATGAAAAGGTACGGTAACGTCACGGCCAACGGCAGCAAGGCCGGCAGCGCGCGTTCGAACATCAGCTACTCGGACGAAGACCACGGTTACGGCGTGGTAGCGCCCGACTTTGAGAGCTACGTCGTCTTCACCGAGTTCTTCGACCCCTTCATCCGGGAGCTGCACTGCGTCACCGCGAGCGGTGACCTACCCGACCATCCGCCGCCGCGTTTCTTCAACAACGACGACGAAGGGGACGAGGAGGCGCCGCCGGACGAGGCGACGCTCGCGTCGATCGAGCAGCACGACCTCGACCCGATCGCCAAGTTCATTCAGGCCGGTGTCATCGAGTGCGCACGAAACCTCGTCAACTACACTCTACCGTTGACCTTGACGGTCAACCAGCTGGAGGAAGTCGAACGGGAGATTACGAATCAGTTCATGAGCCCGGAGATCAGCGCCATGATGGCGGAGGGTAGTAGCGAGGACGAAGCTGGCACGTATTTCACCCTCAACGAGATCTTGGAACAACCCAGCCGTATACGAGCGCAACTGGCGGCGGCCGGTCTGCTCTTGCCGATCACGGAGTACGACGTGAGCGACGATCGACGTCTCCACGGTAAGCACTGGCCTTACGGGCGAGGTGTCTACGTCACCACCGCCGGCGACCTCGCCGCGTGGGTCAACATCCAGGACCATCTGCGCGTTGTCTGCCGCACCAACGAGAACCGACCGGGCCTGATGGGTCGTGCCTACGTCAGGGTGGCCAAGCTGATGATGATACTCGATCGGAAGCTGAATTTCAAGCGCGACTGCAAGCTGGGTTTCTTAACCGCGCGCCCTCATGCCCTCGGTAACACTTTGAGGTTCTGCTTGGTCGTGAGGTTCCCGGAGCTCTCCAAGACACCCGACAATCTCCGGCACCTCTGCGTGGTGCGCGGTCTCAGTGTACGCGACACCGCCAAGAAGGACATGGTGAGGATCGGCAATCAGCAGTCATTGGCCATCGCCGAGCTGCAGACCCTGCAGGACTTCTCCAGAGCGGTTCACAATATCATCACCCTGGAGAAGGAACTGTCGTTGAACAACTCGATGAAGATCGCTACCCTCATCGCTGGTATATTTCGCAAACGGGCAAATGCGTCGAGGGGTCTGAAGGCGTAAAAAGCTCGACGGTCATGGTGGTAAAAAGAAAAAAAACAAAAAAAAAAGACAATAATAATTAGGTCCTGAGCTCTTGAAGACGATTCGTCGAAAATAATTCGTCCGCTCAACGTCCATCCCGAAAAAAAAAAAAAAATAGTCGCCTTTCTTCAACGTACTCTGAATAATTAACGTAATGTGGAAGGTACTTGTGTGGAAGAACCGTCCGCCTTTCTGAGAAATCTTACACGAGACGATCTCACACCGAGGCGCAAAAACACGGACTTGTTCATCGTTCGTCGAAGATCTAGATAGCGAATCGAGATCCTGATTATCAATCAGACAACCCACCGAGGATGCTCGACTTTCATTAAGACTCAACTCTCGACTCATCTCTAGATAATATTTCGTATATACACAACCGATATACACACACACCGATGATCGTCGAGATCGCCTTCGAGAGCATCCATTCTCTTTCCCTTCAATGTCAATGTCTTTCTACGAGAACTAAACATTACGCTTACCTGTGGAAAATCTTCTGTGATAATTATCAGCCAACGTCAATTACTCCTCACAGACTGAACTTTTTTTAAGATACCTTCTTAGGATGTAGCGTGCGAGAGAGAGAGAGAGAGAGAGAGAGAGAGAGAGAGAGAGGGAGAGAGGGAGAGAGGGAGAGAAAGAGAAAAAATACGTTGGAAAGACGTGTGAACGTTATTTTGTTTCCTCTCGTGCACTGACGTTCCTCTTTGCGAAATTGCGCGATATAAGTAATTAGCCGCGGCTCTATTATATCGGATTATCCGGTGGCGAGAATGCAGAATTGCCGATTAGGTTAGTAAACGATTAGCACTATTTACCAACATATACCTATATATACACGACACCATTGTCGCACAACATCCCACTTACAATTGTGCATTGTAAATCTTTGTTCTCGAGGTAATCCGACGAGTCGTGCGAAGTAATGAGAAGAAGGAATAGGGGAGAAAATAGAAGGGCGTTCGTGTACCAAGTAATTAATAAATCCATCGTCGCGTAAAAAACGCACGACTAGATGAGTACTTGTATAAATAAGCCATGCGCGGCCCTCGTATATCTCTTCTTCGCAATCTCTTGGATCGAGACAACATTTCGTTACCGCGTGTATGTACACACGCGTCGATCCTCGCGTTTATTCCAAACGCTGAAGTTGCCGCTTTTACGTAAAGTCGACGGCGCAAAATATCTCGGTGCAAAACTAATGGCACGACAAGCTTCCAACTGTCAAAGTCTTTTCAGGGGCTTCTTCTGTATGTAATGCACGAGTCGATGTTCACACAAGACAAAATTGACGAGGCACATGTCTTTCCAACTCCGTGTTACCAACTCGTGCTAAGATGAAACCATGTTACCCGATCTTTTACCCTTATTACGCGTACCGCAATGTGATCTCGTTATCATCAATCGAGAGACCAATGGGCGTCTAAGTGTCAAATCGTAATTTTCGAGGTGCGCAAGCATTACATATAACGCGAATTCGCGCGCTCTATATTTTTGTAAGATGTCGATGTTACTTCGCCTCGCAACTATCGCAGTAACGTGTTCTTGACAAAGTACAAATAACGAAATCAACTGGAATCGCAATCAAGCGTGGGGAAAAAAGTTGCCTCGTGGCAATAAAAGAAGCTGACATTTAAATGTTTATTGACTAGCAAGTGGCAGACATTTATTATCATCGTTGTTATATAAATAATCACTGATGCACTTTTTTCTATATTACTGTCGTGTTTGCATAACTGTGCCTATGCCTGCTTTTGCATTTTAGATTTATACCTGTACATAAAAAATAATTGTTTTGTCACGTTTTGCCGAGTGATTGTGCCACACAGCGTTTCATCGTTTGCAGAACTGAAAATCATTATTGCATCATCGCGATAAGTCATAATAAAAAATATGTATGTAAATTCAATAGAAGAAATATACAGAGAAGAAATAAAACAAGAAATAAATTTCTTATGCGACTTGAGGATTTATGAGCAGAACTTGCAATAAAAATTTGCAAAAACCATGTGGGAATGCAATAATCGATTTCAGTACTGAAGAATCGTTTTGCGAATTTATTGAAAATTGACGAAAACGCGCTTGCTATTTTATCGAAAAAAGTTTTTGCGTTATTGTTCTTTATCGTCAATCCATTGAAGAAGTCAAAAATATCTTTAATCAGAAGATCAACCTAGTTCAATGCACTAGAGATCTCTAATTAGCATCACAAATATATTTTAATCAAAGATGCAAATATAACTAAAAAAAAAATTGGATGTTAAAAACATAAAAAAAAACTAAAATATTAATTATTAATAATAAAATATTGATTTTATTTAGTAAAAAAGGAACTTCGTATAATATTATCACAGGATACTGACTTCCAATTCGACAATCAGCCAAAAAATAAATTCTTAATTAATTTAAAGTAGCAAGCGCGTTCTCTTCCTGATTATCGCGCGACGATCTGACGGGTCTCTTTTACAGATGACAATGAAGTCGACATTCCGATATTTCGTTCGGAAGAAGGACGTTATTTGGCATCGTGTAAGTAATGACAGTCGAATTTTTCTTTCCTTTCTCTAATCTTCAAAGAAATTTATATAACCACATCATATTCACGCACCTTTTAGCATTGGGCGATCCCTTGATCAAGGGACTGACGGAAGTTGCGAATGCGCGGCCAAAGGATCCGGTCACGTATCTCGCGACGTACTTGTACAACTTTGCCAGCCAGAATAAAACGAATGGACAGGTAATACGACTTTCGGGCGTATTCACGAAATCCACGCAACATGCAAACTTCCTTGACCCCGATTTCAGGAATCCGACGTTCTCATTATACCCGATCGCGAAGAGGAGAACTTGGAAAATGTCGAGAACGACAATTTCGACGAGGACGCCGGCTATCCGCAAAGTCCAGATTCGGACATACCTGAGTCTACATTCAGCAATCCTAATCGAGTACGTAACGCAAAATATTCAACGACTCATAACGACCCTGACAATAAGCAACCAGTAAGATCTGGCTAGCGAAAGGCGCACAATTACAGCTCTCACTGGACTAATCTTTTATTTCAAATATCAGGATTTTCACAATACGAAATTTTAGCTGGTTTTTCGTTAATAGTGTCCCACGGTGACGAAGCGTGACGTTTCGCGCGTGCAAATTAAAGATAAGAATGATACATTTCTCAGGACGAACACGGGCAAAGCATGATCCACTTCGCGACCGTCCGCTCTTACTCGAAGGACGGTTTGTACCATCTGCTGCTGGAGACGCAGGTAAACGTCGGTTTCAGGGATGAGCTATATCGGACCGCCAGAGACGTCGCCGAACAGGCGAATATCCGAGGGAACGTCGACGAGATCGATCGCTACGTGGTTTATTTAGCGGCGAGAGGTAAACAAAGCGGCATACGTATGGCGAATGCAAAAACAAGATATCAGACTCGAGATAGAGACCGATGCGACTTTTAAAACGTTGCGCGCAGGTGAGACGGCGAAATTGGTCGAACTTTTGTTGGAGGGCTACGATCATATCTTGGACACCGAGGACGAGGGAGCGAACATTATAGACATCGCCGCGGAAAGGGGCCACGACGCTACCGTACAATTTCTGCAATCGATCCCTAATTACGTGGTAAGTCAATGAGAACGACGCGACTGCTGAGAGTTGCGATCTCGGTCGGGCAGAAAGAAAATCGGTTTGCTTTCTCATCGTCCTTCGAAGGTCAAACAATCGGCCATCTCCCACGACAAATTTACATAAATGCCATGAAATTTAAACAATGTTTCCAATCTTGAAGTTAAAATCTTAAAATTAAAAATTGACCCAAACACTCAACGGCGCGACGACGAATCCGATTGTATTCAATGCGGTGATATCCGGCAGAATCAACGCGAAGAGGTGCACGCCGCGATTCGCAGCGGCGAGGAAGATCGCGTGAAGGAACTTTTGCATAAGAACAATGGAGGTGGAAAGTTGCTGGCCGTCGGGAAAAACTCGATCGGCCGCTGCGCCCTGCACATCGCCGTGCTCCGAGAGCAAGAAGAGCTCGTCAGATTCATCGCGAGAACGTATCCGGAAACGTTGCGCATCGGCGATAACGTATGTCACTCTCGCACGTTCTCACCTGCGCAGTAAATTATAACTCGATGAAATAATAACTCGGTGAAATAATTTTAATTGCAACAAATATATCCTCTCGTTAAAAGAAAATGGATAATATAAAACTTACTTGCACGCGAGAGATTACAATTTTACGTTTCAGTTGGAGAGGACCGCTCTTCATTATGCGATGGGAGTGCCGTCCGTGGAAGTCTTAAGTAACGTGTTAATTAAGGCAGGCGCGAAGCGTATCGTTAAAGACCTGGTAAGACGTAGATACACTGCAGCGAAAGAAACCATCGCTGCTCGCAACACAAAGGATGCTAATTCTTCTTCCCTTCCAGAAATCCCGGCAACCTTCGTATTACTTTATGAACAAGTCTGACATTGAGAGACTTCAGGAAGAGGAGAAATCCATGACATGAGTCGTACGATAACGATATTCGCACAGATTTCGCAATTGCACATTCACATACTTTATTATAATCCATCAAGATGTACGTTGTGTGAGACAAGGTCGACGAGGAAATGAAAGATAATGAGAATCGACGAGATTCGGAGATCAGGAAGAGAAGCCGAATGGAGAACTCTCTTTATTTGTCCAATGATTCTTGTCAAGAATCCAACAAACCGACAGATAAAATATTTCTGAATTTAACAATATTTTACAAACTTTTGAACTTTTTTTTTTAATGAAAAGAAAAAAACCAAATCTCTTGATATTTTCTCCGTTCCTATAGCGCTCTCGGCGACCCTGTTGAGCTACTTAAGCGTTAGTCCGACAAATAATTGAAAAATTGTATAGATTCATAACATGTTTGAATTGCGTCAAATGTGGAGACAATCTAATGTCTTATAAATAAATGTAAGGAGACTACAACGGTGTCGTGTGTCATTTCACCAAATTCCACCAAAGCAGCGCAATTATACACCGAGCAAAGAATAAAGTTCGAAGGCGATATTATTTGAGAGACTAGTAATAAAATATCGAAAATCGAAGCAACGTGTAAGAGACAGAGGGGAATTCAGAAGATTTTTGTCAGTTATTTGCTCATTCTGCTGTTCTATTATAATTTAAGTCAATGCTTAACAATCTTAAATTAAGTTGTGCTTGTTCGACATATCATCTAAGGTAAATTGAGATCGAAAAAAGTTTAATGCTCAGATATGAAACTCTTAACATTGGTCTCAGTGGCATTGTTTTGCCGCGTGATCGTTAAGTACTCCTCGGTGATCTCCTCGGGCTGGATCTTGTTAAAGTACGTCTCCCGCTCCTTATGTACGTAGCGCGCATCATCAAAGTTAAAATGCAATCCAAGAACTATATTTAATGCAGAGGTGTCGTACGCGTGACAGCCGGAGTACCGGTACTGTGGTTTTTTATTGAATCTACAGCCCGCCGATTGCGCACCTACGGATCATTCAGTAAGAAGCTTAAAACGTGTAAGGAACACGAGTTTAGATAAGACGATTAGTATGTATATTCGTTGAAACACATGACACACAGTAACTACGAGTAGAGCGTATCAACGTTGGAGTGTTTAATTGCAAATACCTACCAATAGGAGAAATGCAATCTCTCGTCAGTGCGCACTGGACCCAAGGTAGCATTACTCTCTCTCTAATGTCTTTAATATTGCTAATCACTAGGTGCGACGCTCTAATCAGTGGGAGAAAGAAGAAACTCTCAGCGGAGGCATGAAAGTATTCATACATCTTTGGATGCGTTAGGGAACTAATGGCGTGCCTCGTAGGCCAAGTCAAAATGCCAGATTTTGGAGAGAGATACTTCGAAATGTCTGACGAGTTCAGACGTACATTTGAGTCCATATAGATTATGTTACCTAGCGTATTTAAAGCTGTCTACGGTAGAAAAACATTATTCACGTATATAATCGGTATCTCTGAAAAGCCATAAATACATACTCATGTGATGGATTACTCACTTGAATAACTAGAGGTCTATAAACATGCAGCGTGTCGTCTTCGACGTGAGCAGGAAATGGGCTTAGATCAAAGTGAATCACATTACATCTCGTAGAATTACAAGCGATTCTAACACTTTGTAAGGAATCCTCACTTAAACCAACACTATAAATCACAATACTATTATTTGGCAAAAAATGGCTGACATTTCTAACGAAGCCGTAAATATATTGCTCGTTTCCAGGCCTTACGAGCGACACAACCGTCACATTCTGAGGTTTAAGACTGACTGGTGTCGTGCTGGTCTGCCCATCCAGACCAAGCAACGCGAGGTACTTGGAATCTGTCACCAGACGCTTCTCCTCAACATCTTTTAAATTCTCCTTGAAACAATTAATTCAACATGATGCAAACAACGCAAGACACAGGGAGGAGAGAGAGAGAGAGAGAGAGAGAGAGAGAGAGAGAGAGAGAGAAAATAGAGAGAAAGAAAGAAGGAAAAAGGGAGGGAAACAGAAAAGAGAAATAGGGAAGACGAGAGAAAGAGAGAGGGAGAAGGAGAGGGAGAGGGAGAGAAAGAGAACGAAAAAGGAAAGAATATTTATGTCTGTTCAATTAAACGCTACCTACCTGGAAGCTCCGTAGCTGCTTGTGAGTTTCGGTCACTAGGGTCTGAATGGAAGGTCGTTGATTGCTGAAAGCAATGAAAACGATGCTGCTCCCTGCTATGCAAATCAGCAACAGTAGCAGGCCCTTGGTACGCATCGCTCATCGTTTAACGTGATTTGGGGGGCAATCCAATACAGATATAATACTGACTATCTTACGTCAGGAACATCCCAATTAGGTTAGACACTTGCGGCGGCGTCATAGTACGTCACGTTGTAAACGAGCGAATACCGTGGAAACTCATACCGAACGCACGGACGGTCAATGTGGATTATCAGCGGCTATATTTACAAATTAACGGGAGATTAGATTAAGGCCTTTGATAACAAATTGTTCCAGAGAGCTCGACAAACGCTCCACCTCTCCATAAGGGTCTCCATTCTGTGCTCTGTGCGTCCTTCTGCGCATCTGTCGCCGAGAATGACGTATGATCGTAGCGCCCTCTGTCGAGAGCGGCACGCGATATTTCAAAACTTGTTTGAAAAAGTACCGCATTGCATGCAATTTATATATTATATTTATATATGCGTATTATTATATATTACATACGTAATATTATAATTAGGCCAGCGATGCAGATGAGAATTCCCTCGACAGTTTAACATTTAAGACCACTCGCGTGGCCCCAAGGTCGCGAACCGAAAGTTTTACCATTTTTTGCGTTACGGAGAATCTGACAGAGCTATTCTTACGCAAATGCGACCTTCGCTACAGAGAGAAAGAGAGCACAAGAGAGTTTACATGTTACCGTAAGATTATATCTTAAGATACATACTCTTACGACACCAATACCAAAACCATTGTGCTATTCGCACACCTCGACAAAACTATGCACTTGAATGATGTATTATTATGAATAATTGACGAGCTCTTGATACACATTCTGCATTATTTGATTGTGTACACCTCGTAATTAATACTAAAATTTACTACATCATATGCAATGAAAAGAAGCAAACATGATAATTTATTCAAAGATTTATTCAAAACACAGACAACAATACGATAACTCGTTTGTGCGCGACCTTAACATTGGTTAAGGTTGTTCGCAGATTCTACGAATTCTATCTCGAACGACGTGTATTCTTGTAATGCTTGTTTTTTAATGTTTCGGCCTGCGTAATGTACGTATGAGAAAATAAGAGAATAAACCTATATATACTGTGGCTGATTAATTCTGAATGCTATTTTTATTTCCTTATATTTTATTGCTTCAAATGTAACCAGTTTTTACTCATGAGCAACTTTTCTCTATAAATGAGAGTCTCGCTCGGACGGTCTCAGTAGTGTTCGATTCGACACCGTCGATATAATTTCTTCCGTTATCAGTTAGTGCGAGAACAAAAATGATGGCTCGACTAATCGGTGTCTATCTTGTGATCATCTTCGGATTGATGTGTATCTATGCAGAAGAGTTATATTCTGACAAATATGACGACATCGACGTCATCAGTATCCTCAAAAATGACAGATTGCGGAATCAGCATCGTAAATGCTATTTAGGTGTAGCACCATGTACAACGGCAGATATGAGGTTCTATAAAGGTATACACATACACACACACACACACACAAGTAGCTCATTCCTATCATTTATTTTTTATGACAAAATTCTCTTTCTCTCTTTCTGTCTTTTAATATCTTTTTTCTATCTCTCACTTGATAAACAACTCATCTCATTTTCAGATATCCTCGGCGAAGCTATCGTGACACAATGCCGAAAATGTACCGAGAAGCAAAAGCAAAATTTGGAAATAATGACTGAGTGGTATATAACAAACAAACCAGATGAATGGAACAAATTCGTGGCGAAAATGATAGAAAATTTAAGAGAGAAAAATAAAGGACAATAAGAAACTACAATAATTATAGAACAATAATGTTAATCAATTGTTAGAGATGTTAATCAGTATTAACAGCACGTAAAACGTTTCAATTGCGGAGAACTCTTCTATGATATTTAGAGTAAAAATAAATGTAAAAATATAGTTTGGGATTTTTTAAACTAACATTTGTATCTATCGATATTGTATTATTAGAGCAATTTATAAGAATACAATAATATTCAGAATTTGTTTACATTGTGATGGTGAATTTTTCCAACATAAATTGCATCGTATTCGTCGTATTCGCCATACTTTTACTTTACAAACGGATCACTTAAAAGCTTTCCTGAGGTGACGTTCTTCCTGTAGAAGTGAACTGGAATATTCGCGAAGCGTTGGAAATAAATTTTAAACTACATTTGATTATAAACGCCGTAAAAGGCATATATTATCATCTGATGAATATTTCTTATAAAAAGAATTCATAAGATAAAATCCTCATTGCAAATAAAGCAAACTCGTGTTTATATAATCTAATGCGCAGTGTGCTTTCAGGAATACAGATTTTACATTTATCCTCTGTACTTCTTACAATGATATATGCTGTTACGCACTAAGTACCGATTCGTGCATATCTGGGTTCGCAAAGAAATTTTACTCTGAATTTTGTAAAAGAACTTCACTTTGTTACTAATATATACAAGATTATTTAAAAGTTTCTCTCGTATGGATAATACTTGGAAACACGTTCGCCACACGTTAGCCTACGACGATGGCTCGTGCGCGACTCTCCGTTGTTTATTATTGATTCGTTGTCCAGGGAGATCGCTCTTTAATTCTAAGGACTGGTATTGATTTTCTAAAATATAGCTGATCAGATCGTCCCAGCTGACCGGCAATCAAAAGACGAGAGACACCACATATCGTGGCGCATAACAATACGATACGTATATTAAGTGCTATATTCATCATTCCACGAACTCTATCTTGAACGATGTCTATTCGTAATGGTCGGTTTTAAGTATTTTGGCTTGCGTACATATAAGAAAATAAGAACATCCCTGTATGTATTGTGGCTGATTCATTCTGAGTGCTATTTTTATTTTCTTTTATAGTTTATTGCTTGAAATGTACATAACCAGTTTTTTCTCTTGAGCAACTCTTCTCTATAAATGCGACTCTCGCTCAGACGGCCGCGGTAGTGTTCCATTCGATACCGTCGACACAGTTTGCTCCGTTACCAGTTAGTGCGACAACAAAAATGACGACACGACTAATCGGTGTCTATCTCGTGATCATCTTCGGATTGATGTGTGTCTATGCAGAAGAAGAGTTATATTCTGACAAATATGACAACATCGACATCGACGGTATCCTTAATAATGACAGATTGCGGAATCAGCATCGTAGATGCTACATAGGTCTAGCACCATGCATAACAGCAGATATGAAGTTCTATAAAAGTATACATATACACACACACACAAAGTAGTTCATTCCTATCGTTTATTTTTTGCGATAAAATTCTCTCTCTCTCTCTCTCTCTCTCTCTCTCTTTTTTCTCGTTCATCATTTTTTTCTTTTTTAAATTGTACTTTCTACTCAATATATTTGCGTTTGAGCTAAACTCTCTCTCTCTCTCTCTCTCTCTCTCTCTCTCTCTCTCATTGTCTTTTAATCTTTTCTTTCTATCTTTCACTTGTTAAACAACTCATTTCAGAATTTATCGGCGAAGCTATCGCAACAAAATGCCGAAGATGTACCGAAAAGCAAAAGCAAAATTTGAATAAATTAGCTGACTGGTACGTAACAAACAAACCAGAAGAATGGAACGAATTCATTGCGAAAATGATAGAAGCACAAAGAGAGAAGAATAGAGGACGATAAATAACTGACTACGATAATCACAGAACAATAATGTTAACCAATTGTTAGCGACGTTAATCAGTATTAATTGTATAAAGTATTTCAATTGCAGAGAACTTTTTTATATTTAGAGCAAAAATAAACATATAGCAGTAAAGAATATATAGTTTATGATTTTTGTAACTAACACTCGTACCCATCGATATTGTGTTATTGGAATAATTTGTAAAAGCACAGTAATATTCAGAATTCGTTTACATCATGATGGTAAATTTTTTCAATATAAATTGCGTCGTTTGTATTCATCATATTTTTACTTTACAAACGAATCACTCAGAAACTTTCCTGAGGTGACGTCCTCCCTAAAAAAGTGAACTGGAATGTTCACGAAACGTTGGAAATAAATCTAAGATGAACGCAGCATAAATCCAGAAATCAAATCAAACATTTAATCACGGACGGTGTTAGGAATTTTTGAGAAACAATTGACAGTACGCGCCGTCGATTATGTATAATTTTGCGTCGTTAAATCTGTATCGAGTGAGCGTATTATTTGATTCTCTCAGAGGGAAAATGAGGAGTTCACATGCGAAATTTTAAACGGCGCTTTAAAAACTAAAATGATCTACGTTCACATCTGATCATAGAAGGCATATTATCATCTGATAAATTGATATTTCTTATATATACGTAATGCGAAATGTAATAAAACATAAAAAAATTTATAGGATAAAATCCTCATTGCGAATCATTACAAATTCACTCTTACATAATCAAATGCGCTCTCAGAAATACAGATTTTTTCAGTTTTTCTCTGTACTTCTTACGCTAATGTTACGTACGATATGTATGTGGTATATTCAACATGTTTTGCTACGTATGTATATGTAGAGGAAAAACTTATTAACTTTGTAGAGACTATATTAATAAAAATTGCGTTTAATTTAATACATCTATATTGTATGTAATACCATACTGATATATAATCTTCTTTGCCATGTGAAAAATTGTAGAATCTAATAACCTTCCGACAATAAACTGAAACATTATTAGTTAAGGACTATGTAAAGAAAAATGCTTTCAATGATTTATCTAGTCATCTGTTATATCACGAAGCAATCGTTTCAACGTTTCCATTCTACATATCAAAGATAGTCTCAAAAAAAAAAAATTGATGTTTTTATCTATTATTTATGTTCAATGTCCATCAATCAATATCCTTTCACGTTTAAAAGCTACTTTACGATACTTTATATCACGCGTTCATGATTGTTGTTGAACGACTTTTCACTACATATCTCGCGTAGTTCACTTGTTTTTATTATTGTTTCATCGTACATTTATTTCAATTATTCCCAGCATTTCTGTACGTGAAAATACCATGCATGATTTATAAATGAAACTACTTGTGTGAGATATGTGCAATTATTAATCCCTAACATAAGTACGATTACCCTTCTGTGCCAAAAAGTTGGTGGTTTGAAGACAATGAGGTCTTGAATGAATACAAAGAAACAATCATTGGATATATTACGTATATATATTTATCTTATTATAATGAATCATAAATATTGATCAATTCTAACATAATTATATTAGATTTTCAATAAAGAGAAATAATTCCTAAAGGCACATCAAAGTTACACGTTTTGTAACACTGAAAAGTCGATTACGTAAAGCTACGTCGTCAGGATCAACAAATTTGATAAAAACTATTTTTGTAAAATTCATCTCACTAAAGATATACCTTCTGTCCCACAGCAGACAGAACTCGACAATTAACCGTAACAAATTTTCGCACAATCCCGTGTAGCACTCGGTGTGTGTGTATGTGTGTGATCCTCGTGCCTTTACCTCTGAATGAGATCAATTAAGCATTACGAATACTTCGATATAAACGGTATTGCATTTCAAATTGTCAGATTTCCACATGCGTCATTTCGACGCGTGACATTTCGCGCATTTAACATTATTACACCATATTTGCTTTGGGACAGATTTTACATTTTTAGTCGTAGTATAATATATATCTATATAGAACACGCACTTGGCGCGCGCACGATTCAACAGTTAATTATAGACAAATTCTCTATCTATAATATTAATCTCCGTGTTTCTTTCATATATATATATATATATGTGTATATATATGAATATATATATATATATATATATATTCATATATATACACACATATATATATATAGATTTATATATATATATTTATAATTAAAACGAAAAAGTTGTCTATTATCGTTAAAAATGCGTGCATCGGCACAACTATCTATCTATCGGCACGACTAACAAACGTCGCCTCGTTATGCTTCACTATTGGATCAGGAACATATGTCTGAAAGTTCGTAGAAATAGTTAATCGTGAAAATGTGCACAAAGTAATATACTCCGCCGTGTTTCGCTGTTTGAAAAAAACATCGATATAACGATCAGGACTCATACTCGTGTATCCCGAGTCCGAACTTCTTCGAGCTTCTAGAGAGACTAGCTAGTTAAGTGATATTTGGTAAGAAGCTTATCTTCACAATTTCAGCGTCGTCAAGAGTTGCTGGCCGGTCTCCATTATCAACGACTTCACGTGATCCGCATGCATGATTTGATTGCACATCTCAGTGCATCTCTGAAACGCCGCCATGTCGTCCCTCGGTAAGATGCGATGTAGACTCTTCATGGGCAACGTGTGCGGTAGATAATTCAAGATCTCTGCGAATTTTCAAAGAAGAGACCGATCTTATCATGATTGCGCATCAAATTGCCAGTGATTACGTGCGACTCACCTTTCATGATCTGCGTGTACAACCACTGAAGCTCCTGCTGCGCTGTTGACATGGCGATCTTATCTCGCGTTAATTCGATAAGGTACTTCCACTCGGTATCCTTCGTGTATTTATCCTGAAATATGGAAAACGTGGCAAATATTGCGCATGCATAAAGATATGACACAACGACGTACGGAGAGTCTACCTTTGCATACTGCAATACCGCTTGCGAGCAGTTATCCATCAGAATCGCCGTGACTTCCTCTGTGTTCTGAATGCACAAGGTCTTGAGAGACAAGTCTCCGTCAATGCTCTGCGTTTCGAGGAACTGCTTGACTTCGTGCAAGCATTCGATCGGCAGGAATTCGCACGACAGCACAGACTGCAGCTTGAATAATTCTTTAGGCATGACCTTCTCGCTGTCGGGCGTGTTGTTGAAGTTTGCGAGGTCCTTGAAGTCATTCATGTTCAAGATCTTCTGATAATCTTTGGCGTACGGCGGCATCTTGTTCAGATAGCTCGGCCGGTATTTGCCGAACATGAAGTACTCGTTATCGCTCTTCGGATCCTCCTTGGACTCGGTGTTGTAGACCTTCGTCTGCGTCAGCTTGCCTAAATAAGATCGTACCAGCAACTTGAACGCCTCGACGAGGGCAAAATCCGCGCGCACCTGATTCTTATTCACGATCGCACACTCTGTCATGGACTTGGAGCTGAAATAGTTGTGCAGGTACTTCTCGAGGAAAGCTTGCAACGTGGCGGCCGCGTTGTGACCGTCCCTGCCGACTCGCGACGGCAGGTACTCTAAGAACACCTGTATAATCTGATGCAAGGACAAAGTGCCTTCGTCCTCGATGATCTGTATCAGAATCTCCGCGAAAATAGTGTTCTTGATGAGCATCAGCGTGCCGGCGAAATCCGAGAAAGTAGGGATCATGGGGCTCCTCTTCTTCATGGCGGTCACATCGAACAGCAACTCCCAGCGCTCCAGAACGATCTGCTTGATGCATCGCGCGGATACCGGCTGCAACGCTTGCTCCGCTTGCTTCTGCTTATCAGCTTGGATGTAGAGAATCGCCAGAGCGAGCTGCACGATGTCGTCGATTTCGTGAGTCAGCAGCACGTTGATCAGCTTCTCGGTGGCGTACTCCCTCAACACTGGACTGCCAAAGATCAGTTTCAATAGGTCATCTTTCTCCAGCTTGCTGATGATCTCCATGATGTTGTATCCTTGGAAAAGCGCGTCCGCCTCGGAGCCGCTCTTCATCGTGAGGAGCGCGTCTGTCAAGAACGTCAGCAGCCCTGGCGCGTCTTGACTGCACTTTCTGGACAGTACCTCGGAAGGTTTCAGCCCGGACATCTTGTAGTAAGGGATGCACAGGTCCCAATCGGACTCGGCCTCCGATCGTATGTAATAATCCGCGAGCAAGGCGCATGACTGATTATACAGGTTCTTCAGCTTGAGATCGATCTTGTGCGTCACGTCGTCGAATTCCTCATTATTGTCATTGTAGGAAATATCCTTCGCCAAGCGTATCAAGGCGTGCGCTTCTCCCAGCAGGTGCCGATAGGTGCTCGGACTGGAAGACCTGTGATTCCTCGCGGCGTTCAGAATGTCGAAGTACACGTTCTCGAGACTGGGTAGATTCAAGGAGTACATGGTCCAAGAGCTATCGGCTTTCGCCAGCAAGATTATGTAGCTCTTGGTGTGTAAGAGCTTCTGTATTCCTAGAAATGGTCTCAAACCAATCAGGCATACCGGTTCACTGAGACTGGGACATATTGTTCTGGTGCTATCGGCGCTGCTCGTCAGCTTGGCGATGTGATGGGACAAACGTAAGGTGTAGGACTCGAGACCGGCTTCCGTAAGCGCATGAAGCACCGTGTGCTCCAGCGCGATGTGATAGACAGGTGCCGTGAACGGATAGGTGGTGAGACACGTGGCGTCGAGGGAGCTGTTGCTCGCTGCGGGGAAGTGATATAAATAGCCTTCCTGCATCGTGCAAACAAAGCAACTTACACCCTGTAAGTACCTGTACTTGCCGGACCGTAATATAGATTTCTTCATGCCGGCAGTGTTACACTCCTTCTTCAAATACAACGGTTTCAGCACCAGACATCTGAAGACCTCCAGAACTCCGTCGAGTTTGGCGCTATTGCCGTTACTACCAGCGTTGATCTTCAGACACAGTAGGTTCTTTATTGTGTAATTCTCGGACCATCCCACGTCGGGCGAGGTCGTCTTGATGAAGATCCTGATGTCTGCTGAGTTCAGCACGAAAGGGCTCAGGGTGTGGCCTGGCCCAGCTCTCTCTAGACTTATCGACGGCAAGCTCACCGTCAACGATTGCGAATTGGAATCGATGATGCCCTGCGCGATCAGCCTCTGCATCTCGTCCTTCTCATTGCACACCAAGTGCTCCCAGTCTATGTAATTCTTATTACTACTTGGTCTTGCTCGGTTAAAATCGCTTGTTTCTAATCTACACCAGGTGCTCCCCTTCGAGCCTCTGTGCTTCTTATCTTTGGATTTCAGACTAATCGGCATTGCCTCGTTGCTCTCAGATTGATTATCATGATCCGCGGACTTTGGTTTTGTGTTCGCTACTTGCTGCTGCATCGCGTCATCGTTCCCCAAGCTGTTGCTGTTCTCCACGAGCGACGAATCTGTGGATATGGATGTCTTGTCGACGGAGGAGGAGTTCGTGGAAGCTAATGAGCTAAGTTGGTCGATGTCTTCATACATTGAATTCGTGAGACGAAAAACGGAGAGATTTGTGTCGTCCATGATGGCTACGAAGTCTTCCATGATTTCCATATGCGTAGGTGCAAACGTGAATCCCAAGGACCATGGCCTGGATTCGAAGTCTATGAACTTCATCTTTGATACCTGTTGCGTCTCCAGCTTGAATTCATGCAGAATGGCGCTGTTTCCCGAGGCTACTAGTAAGTTACCTGTGCTTTGGCAGCAGGCGATTAATGTGGGCTGCACACTGAGTGGCAGTTCTATCATCTCCAGACTGTTCAAGGGTCGATTCAGACTCGGGGTAACACGTCCTGCAATCCTGGCTCGCATCGCTTGACTCTGATCCTTCACTACAGCCCAATTGACATAAATCCTTACAAAATTAGAAGTGGCTCTGTTCACATGATTATTGCTCGCGCTGTCTCTGAGATATTTTGATTCCAATGTCACGACATAGTCACCCTTGGCGCAGTGTGCCATTTGATTGATCATATCCACCGTAGGAAAGACTGTGTGCAGTTTGACGTCAGAGTTCATCAAGTCCCATACCTCCACGCAATGTGTTGACAACGCCAACAGGAGCATCTCGCGACCCTGGCTGGTGGCCGTGCACATCGCCATCGGTTCCTCAATCTGGGTGACATTCTGTCCCAGGAAGTTGTGTACTGTTATCACACGCACCATAGCGTCGGTCCCCTGCTCCTCCTCTATCTGTATTGCCTCTCACCACGTAGCATACCACGAGCTGTGCGAGCGTCACACACCTTCGTTTTCGTTGGATCGTTGGCGGTTACTTCGTTGATGATTACTGTATGAGCATCATAACAGTGTACATATCTCTGCGTGTATGTATATGGGTGTGTGTGTGTGTGTGTGTGTGTGTATACATATATGTACGTATAGCTAAGTATCCGTCACGTAGAGGATGAGCGTGCTGGCGAGATTGCGAGCCAGCACGACGCAATACTTGCATGAAAATAAATATGACTCAACGTACGGAATCGACGCGGTCAGTGGGAGAACACCGATCCACCGGGAGCTCGACGAAACTTCGGGCCCGCGATGAAGCTGCGGTCGCCGCTGACATTCCGACGGGATGCGCGACGAACGATGCGAGAGGTTGATGAGTCGTCGTTGAATCGGTGAGCATGGTCATCGTGTGCGTTTCAAGCAACTGTCGTCATACTTTGGAATGCGTTGTCCGACAGGAACGATCGTTCAGCTCGCAAAAGAGGAAGGCACGGCGGATCCGCTCGATCTGTTTGACATCGCAAACGCACCCCCAACGCGCGCCCTCAGCGTGCCGACGATGCAGTCGTGAGAGTGCGCGTCGTGTGCGTCGATTGGTTCCACGGCTCTAGTCCGTTTGTTGACTGCCCGATCACAGCTTTGTGGGCTCAGCTTGAGTCAACACGCCTCTGTGACCAATCAGGGTATCGATATGCTTTCGGTGAACACCTGCTTGCAAGTGTCAAAGAGTTTGCTCGGTGAATGAATTGAGAAGAATATATAGGTATAAGTGCACATTACTCGTTTACACATACAATGACACGAAGCGAGTCTATCATTAATAAGGTAATGATTTAACTTGTTTCGTTCAATTCATATTATTGTCAGTTAAACAATGGTTTTCATATACGAGGTTAGCTCTGAGTTATTTTTTCATTTTGTTTTCATTTTTTTAGATAAAACATGTAGAGGACAGCTTAAAGAATACTTTACATCGAGTTGAAGTAATTGAGAAGAAGCTAAAGACGAAATTGCTCACTACTGAGAATCGAGAGAGATTGGAAAATGAACTGGAAGAAGTTAAGGAGGTCCTCAGGAGGAACGAAGAAAAATTGCAGAGTTTAAGAAAAGAGAACTGCAAGTCCTCTATGACAGCGGCCTGCTTGGTCTTCCTGTGTTTTCTTTTCTATGGCATTTACTTAATGATTTCTGAAAACATTTAATACACAGAACTGTGTGTACTTAGGGGAGAATTGTATTTTATTAAAAATTGATTTATATATTTTATAATTCATTGCAAGTAGGAAGCAGAGTCACTGTTGTTGAATCAGATCTTGCCAATATCATAATGCATTAGTGAGCATCAAGAAAGCAACAGAAATATAATTCTAAGATAAAAATATATGTGTAATACTTTATTATACGTACAATACATATAAAGATGTTATTGTAATGAACATTCCATATTTCTTGATCCTGTATACTTTATAGGTGGAAATTAGTATGTCTGAAAAATGTCTTCCTCTTTTCTGTATACATATATAATTATATATTACATGAATCATGGACCAAAATAAACACACCGAAATACATGCAATATCTCTTTTGCCAAAGCCACTTTTTATTTTCATATATTAATCAACAATCAAAATAAATGCTCTGTCCTATAGACTAGTTAATTATTTTAAATATTACACAAAAATATAACTTTCATCTGTTACTAAAACATATAATTGTTATATGTATTTATATAATTGTATAAAATAAAGTCTGCTGCTATGCGTTTGGACCATTGTTAACACATAAAGGAATATTTGTATTACTCAAGTTTAGCACATTGTCAACAAGTGGAATGAACTTTAGATTGTATTGTTTTTAATTGTTAGCAACAAGATCATATTGAGGTGCACGTGCAAGAGAACTGCGTATATATTTGGCATGTATCTCAGCCTCTAAGAAGCTGCCGCGTACTGCAGAATCTTCCTTCATCGCAGCTCTCCATTCAAGCTGTATTGAACAAAAGTTCTTATTACAAGCAATTCTAATTTACGGACTACATTATTAACAAGAATATTAAATTACCAGCCGCAGAAAGCGATCTCGAGGTATGACAAACTGTTCTCCCTGTAGAATTGTCATTGCATCAGCTCTTTCACACCATGGCCATATCATAAAATCCAACATTCCAGGCTTACCCCCACCAAAGAAAGCTGTTCCTCTCTTGGCTAACTCTCGCTCAAAGAGCTCCAATTTAGCTAATGCCTCGTTGAATAAATCCTGCTCCAGTTTTGGTGCTCGATACGCCTATGAATTAATTTGATCCAAGTACAATCAATACTTAGACCATAAACATGACTATATTATGTAAATACATGGAAAACCAATATGATAAATACCTTATATATTGTTGTTATCACCTCATTAAATCTATCAATCAATATCTTATCTTTGGCTTTTTTCAAAGGCTGGATTGGATACAGTTTATTGTGAGGATAAGCCTCATCCAGATAATCAACAATAATTAGACTGTTGTATAATGTCTCTCCTCCCTCCAGTTCAATGCATGGAACATCTTCCAGTGGATTTTTTTCTATTAACCAGTCTGGTTTATGCTTCAAATTTATATTCACAACATCATACCTGGATGTAAAACAATATGTGAAAAAGCATTCCACTTCTTTTAAAGAAACATATGTAGAAATTATATTCAATAACTATGTCTTGAAGCATTCATTTAGAATTTTTTCACAAAGATTTAATTGTTTAAGAAGATATATTAATGAGACGAAATATTTGCAACTGAATGATGCTCACGGAATTTGTTTTGCGTCCAATACGAGCAATACTCTTTGCGCATACGGACAAAAACGCATGCCGTACAAACGTATTTTCCCAGGTACAAGAGGAGGAGGTACCGATCCTGAAAGATCCAGAAAACCGAAAAATATGTTTCCGTCAATCGCCGATTACGCGACTTCTCACAACTTTACGCAATATAAATATGTTTCCCTACCGGTGCTTAAGTGTTTGGTGTTCATTTTGATCCTTGTGCTCGTTGCCGGCTGCGTCGAAACACTAATGCCTCTCGCTTCAAATAACACCTGACATTTCCGTTACACGACCGGGACTAAGAGAATAAATAACGATGACACTATACGAGTTTCTCTACGCGCAGGTATCGCAGCTATAACACCGAGTATAACAGTGTTTGTATCGTGGCGCACATGTGCGGTCTTCTTTATCGATCTCATATCCTTTTCCTATCAAATGTGCGTTGAACAGGTTTCGAGATGAAATCAAAACATTTCGCAAACGTATTATTCAGATCAAGTATGCAAATTTGCGATGTAAAGCTATTTCACCTGCGATGTAAAACACCTATATATATATATATATAGATGTTAATATGTAAAATATAAATGATTAAAACCACCCTTCAAGATGATTAAAACCACCCTTTAAGAACATTTAAAGTTTATTCGCAAATCTTTCATAGTCAATAGAACGATCTACATGGATACCATATTGCGACCGTTTCATTTATGAATTCCATAAAATTTGGCAAAATATAGACCAAGCGTTTCTTATAAATTTTTAGGATTGTATTCGGTAGTATAGTTCTCGCCGAAATATGAAAGATGGCAGCAACCTTGAATTTTTCTGTCCACCGGAAATGTGCCCGAAAGAAATTACATTTTATTGCAATAACTTTAAATTAATCTTCGAATACTTTTGGGAGAAAATTTTTGAAATTACATCGCTTTTCTTGGCTCGACAAGCACCACCGATTGCAATTTTAAAAGTTTGCAAGAAAACGTCGTGTTTGAATGGTATCATATTTTATGGTGGTTTATACATTTTGCAAAAATTGAACCGGTTTCACCTATGCTTTTATAAATGATATTTTGCTCAATATCGAAAGATGGCACTTGTAATTTTGACCCTTTATAAAATTATGAATCCCCTTACATTTACCCCTTACTTTCGTGAATCGGGAGCATATCCTATGCAAAAGGTTTGTGTCCCTGCTACATATGGTCGAGTCTTGGCTAATCTTGGAAAGTCCATATTTAGTTTCAAAGTTTCCGCTACGAGCCGCCACTATACTTACCGCCGGATCGAAGAGATTGTACGATTCAATCAATAAAAGTCAAGTAAATTTCTTACTTTTAAGTAGTACGAGAATTAAAAAATTTTTTATACATCAGTGCAACATAACAGTTAACGATTTATATAATGGTATTAATTAATGTCTTCCTCTTTATACGTATTTACTCATGCATTTTTTTTTTCAACTGTGTATTTATGTACACAGTTATTATGTATATTAATTAGAGAAATGAAATAGTCAACTACATCCATTAATCGGTTTATTTGTTTCTGCTAACGATTAATCTTTTTCGTTCTTTTTTAGGAATATATATTGGAAAATATACGTATAATAGTCGGATATCCATTTGTATTATTAACTATTCCGCTACCGGCGTGCCAAACTACCAAACTAATTCGGAATATAAATTAAAACCAAAGATAAGTTTTCTAAAAACGGCGAACATGCGACTGCTCGACAACTGCTTTGTGCTAGCAATCGATAATCGATAACCAGAACATACACAAAAAATCGAGATTCTTTAAATGACTTTTCTTGGATCCAGAAACGTCTCGTCTTAACGATTTCATTTGCTCTCAGCCTTCCTTCCACGGCTAATAAATGATAACATTGCACTTCGACGTCTCTATAATTAATTGATTCATAAATTATGTATAACCCAAAATATTTATGGGAAGAACGTTTAAGAAAATTTTAAATATTTAAAAATAAATTGGAGGTATGCGCAGTAAATTTCTCCGCAATATCAAAGCAATATGCAATATGCATAATGAACAAAGGAGGAAATAAGGATAGAAAGCAAAACAATGAAACCAGTATGATTTGAATGTTATATTTGGCAAGAGAGATGGCAAGGCGATGAGAAGAAATAAGGTGTACACTAAGTACTCTGTAATACAGAACTGATGACGGAGAGACATAGAAGCGTAGAAGCGATGTAGAGACTTTCTGAAAGAGAAAGTCGTGACGATGGATGACAATATGACATTGGTGCCAGGCTAACGTTGGCGGTGCTGGTGTTGGTATTGATGTTGGTGCTGGAGTGTTGGTGATGGTGTTGGTGTTGATATTGATGTTAATTTGGTGCCGGTGCCAATGCTGGTAGTGGAAGTCGTGCACAAAGTATCACGAAGAAAGAGAGAGAAGGAGAGACGCGGAGCGTGCGGAGAGAGGAGAGCAAAGTGGTGAGGAGAGGACGATGTGGAGGAACGGCGCGGGCGCTGATTGGTAGCAGAATCGATTAGCCAAGCCGAGCTAAACCTCCGGCACCGCGGCAGGTTCGGCGTGGCGACGCCACGAATTTCCCGAATGGGGGTTTCCCGTTGGGGCGGACCCAGCCGCCGTACCCGGGGAATACCCCCGGCCCTCTTCTCCATGGCAACCCGACCAATTCGCCAACCGCCGGCAACCAAGACTGACCTACCGTGTGTTCCTCGGCTTATTTTTCTTCTATCTGCCTCCGCGCGTTCCTCTTCCCACCTCGTCCCCCTCCTCTTGCTCCACCACCTCCTCCTTAACCATCGCGCTACAGCCGTTCTTTGTGTCTCCGCTCCTTTTGTGTTCGTTCCTTTTTCCCCGGTCTCGTTTACACACACGCGTTTACAAGTACGTACATGATGCACATGCACAAACGCGAGGAACGAAAGGCAGAAAGAGGAGGGCAAACCCGCGAGAAACTTTTCTTTTCTCTTTTCCTCTTCTTCTTGTTCTTCGTCTTCTTCCTCCTTTCGGTCCCTCCCGTCTATTTTCTTCTCTCTCACCGGACTCCACCTCTCTCTCTCTCTCTCTCTCTCTCTCTCTCTCTCTCTCTCTCTCTCTCTCTCTCTCTCTCTTCGGCGTGTGTACACGCTTTTCGCCACTCACTCACTCAGTCAAAGACGGGGGTGGTGATGGGCGCGAAACAACGTAGAGAAAAACGGGAAGTCCCATCGATTTTGCCGACGACCGATACAACCCCGTCGGCACGTTTAATTAGAACATGGCGACTTTAATACAAGCGCACGACAACAAGAACAACAACAGCGCTCCCCCGCTTTCCCGCGGCGACACTTCGCGATTCTGGGTCCGGTTGATTGTTGTCCGCCGTAGTTTTGCAGTTCCGCTCTATTGAAAACGACGAAACCATGTTCTTCGGCTCTCCTCCTTCGAGAAGGGTTGGGTGAGATGGGGAGATGGGGGGATCGCTTATCTACCTAACTTAACGCAATCTACGCTAGAGCCAGACACCCCTCGGTTCATCCATTCATCCATCATTGTCATCGACGTCATCGTAATCATCAGCAGTTATTATTATTCGGCTCCACTCTCGCGAAATCACGCCCGTTCGAACGCACACGCGCCTCTAACACACACACACACACGCGCGCGCACGCACGCACACGCGCAAGCACACATATACATGAACAGGCAGACGCTCTCTCTCTCTCTCTCTCTCTCTCTCTCTCTCTCTCACACACACACACACACACACACACACACTCTCTCTCTCTCTCTCTCTCTCCGAATTTTAACGTCCACTCGAGCCACTCGTACTCTCGCGCTAAGACTAAATTCTCTACACGCCTATGCTAAACATGAAAACACCCTATCTACATGAGCGCCCTTGACGCTCGCGACCCGTCGGACCGATCTCAAAACGGTCTCTCTCCGGATGACACTCGTTCCCCGATCGCGCACGATCGGTCCCACGGGCCATTCGTTCGAGGGTCGCGCGCTAATCGTTAAAGTTAACTCTAGGAATGCTTAGGGTCACTTTACTTAG